TTGGTCGGGTATTGACCTAATCCGGTAATGCACGCAGGCGCCGCGCCTCCAGCTGCAACCGTGAAGGACGGGGACACTCCGAGGGTCTTGTTGTTTTCATGTTGTCTGCCTTTAGTGAGTTCTGCCTCAAGCGATCTGGGGGCTCCACGGGAAGCCTCCTAGAATGACCTCACAGCTGGGCGCCTGTTCCTATGGTCGCCTCATCGTCAGCGCATACTCCCTTGCAAAGCCGGACTCTCCCACGCACAAACGAAGACAGGGATATCCGTTCATGGGAACACCTCCCTGCTTCCAGCTTCAACTGTACGAGCGGCGATGCTTGTTCACGTAATTCTTCGCGTCCTTCCGATAACTGGATAAACACAAGGTGAGTTTATTACAGATTGTACTCGCATCGCGGGTTCGGTGGAGATCTTCACCAAAAGAGCACATCCGCGGAATTCGATGTATACCAAGGGATAAAAAAAAAGAAGCAAAATACTGCGAAATCGCGGTAGACATGGAATTCTTTAAAGGGGCACTGACACCCCAAAGGTCGTATTCTTTTTTATTGTCTAAAACGATGCAAGTTGTAGTCATAGACACGCAAAAAAAAAAAAAAAAAACGCATCGCGAAAAAAAATTTCCCCGCGCGCGCGCGCGCCTTTTTATTTTTGGCGTTTATATTTCCCGCGCTAACCTCCTTGCTTCTTTTGATCGGTGACGTCAAAAATCAGGAAATTTAGAAGCTTTGTAGGCGACATTTCTATAACATTTAATAACGGCAATCGTAAAACATGTTTTTTAACGCAATGACGAACGCACTACGGCCTTTCTTTTTGAAATACCAAAAATCAGATTTCGGTGTGATGTCGCTTCCTGAATTTGTGTTCTCCCTCGGAAACCTTGGCGGCGCTCGAGCAGAGGCTTATCGCCGAGTCGGGGAAGACCGGTTTTTCCCCGCGTCGGCTCCCTTCTATCCCGCCTGCTCACCTCTTCCTCTCTTCGGGTCGCGGTAGCAACGGCGCTTTGCTTCACAGCGTGGTGCGGAGGTCCGAAAGAAAGTCGAGTCGCAGGAGACCGCAAAATTTGACTCACTGCGCTGGCGCGGATCGCGCGGGAACTTCAAATTCGGCATTTGGAAAGTGCTTTTTAATTCACAAATACTGAATTCCCAAGTTTCGAATTTTGAGGGTGATGTCCCGGCATCATTTTCAATCGTTTCGGATAATAAAATAAATTACGATTTTGATGTGTCAGTGCCCCTTAAATGACCTGACAACCTCAATAATAACAATAACAAACGACTTACCTCGATGGCGTACGATTTGTTTCCCATGCTGGCCTGCACTACGCCGGTAATGCACTTCAGGTCGTCGTCGTAACTGATCTGCACGACGTGGTTTGATTTTACGGTATTTTCACACCTTTGAACTAAACTAATTTCTTCACAGAAAAGAAAAAAAAAACGCACATTGCGGAGGCCTCTACGACCACGGCGATGCACTTGTTTTTGTCGCTCGTTTACCGACGCAATTCAATGAAGACGCCCGCTGCAACAGAGGCCAGCGAATCTATCGTGTCGTCTGCTACCAAAGCAAAGCGGAGTGTAATACTTTAGAGATGGCTTTCATTGTTGAAATACGACACTGAGACGACAAGAACATCTTCATAATTAGATATCAAGAAGTTAGGTTGCTTACAAAAAAATTATTAACTTATAAGCGAAAATCTAGCCTCTTGTGGAGTCTCCATGCGTTAGTCCATAGCAACGCCCCTAGCAACGGTTTGTTTGGACCCAGACGCCGTGTTGTGACGTCATCACTTACGGGGTCAATTATAATCAACGTTATTATAATGTACGCTAAAGGTTCAATACATTAAATGTATATTATAATTATAATGTATATTATAATTCAATAATATTTTATATATATTATAATATATATTATTATATAATATATTATGTAATTCAATAAATAAATTAATTATAATGTACGCTAGAGGTTCAACTGGCGCTAGTGTCTATGCGACTTGACCAGTCTACTTTTGCGGTGCTCCTGTGCATTTCTATGGGAAAACGCGCGTGCATTTTGTCTCTTCGCCGGAAAATAATGCGGAACACTTTGGTTATTTGGCTCGTGCCGAATAGTATGTACCTTGATTGACACTGTAAAAGTGTAATTGCTTGAGTTAGCGCATTTTTCTTCATCAGTAAACGATATTTAACTTCGCTACATTTCAGTCCCAAACGTGTGTTCCGCAGCAGGTGTGTAAAAAGCAAGCGACGATTCCGAAAGCAAAATGACAATCGAAACGAATATAGAGTGCGTTCAAGGCTCGCCACCATTTCGGTGACGCTTGTATATGGATAATATGCCAGTCCTGTCAAATATATGAAAATGATTCCGTCGTGCATGAGCGGATAAAAACCTTCAAAACGTAGAGAATAAAGTCCGTGGGCTATGAAAGGTGTCTCTTCGTACTGTTTTCTCTGCCGGGCAGCTTTTATCGCGCACTTGTTCTCAAAGATATCGAGCGCGCGAGTGATATTTTGAACGTAGAACAAGCAGCTTCGCTCAGGGCAGAAAGAATAAAGAGGTACTTATTTAAAGTCGGAATAGATTACGTGGCCTTCAATTTATTTTGATCGTACATGCACTGCGAGTTACTGATCCAGTGTTACTGCATAGTTCTTGCCGCCGCTCTTGATTTTCCAAATGTCCTTCGTTCGTTTGGCATGTGCTATATCCCCTATGCTGGAAATCGCTGACGCCGCGTTCGCGCTAACAGCGTCCGACAGTGCACATAAATACACGTACGAAGCCGTTTTAGCACCGTTTCTAATGCGATGAATTCGAAAGAAAAACGCCGTAACTGGCCAATTCTTTCGTCGGCCTGATCGAGAAATGTTCCAAGTTACCTAGTACGTACGAATTATTTGGGATATTTTCTCTTATAATCGAGCGCAGGGAGAAAATGCACTCACTTTTTCCCATAGAAATGTATTACCGGAAGTCAATTTTCGACTGGTTGCGTGCTTCAATTTGCGTCAGCACACTAGCGCCACTTGAATGCTTAAAGGGATACTTCAACGAAATTTGAAATATTCCCGTCGTGTTCAAAAATAGTTTGAATATGATCCACAATATCCGTAAATGACAATCGCACGCTTGTATTTTGATCCTGGTGGCTGTATTTTTCGTTATAAACGGCCCACTCTGGCAAGCGCTCGGAGAAGGCCTAGCTTACAGCACGTGACATCCAACGCAATCGTGACGTAGGTCGTCTCAAGACGAGCAAAGCTACGGCGAGGCTGACGTCGAGAGGATGGCCTAGTCGTTCCAGCCACCGAAGCGGCTGCTTTTGTACGAATTTTGAGTGACGGGTTAATCTTCTATAATCTTCTAGGGGGACAATAGCGACTTCTGCGACACACAAAAGGGATTCTCGGGAAGAGGGGAGTTCCTCCTTCCCCCCTTCTCTCGTCGTGGCCGAAGATGAGACAACCTCCGTCACTAGCTGTCAAGGTTCCAAGACGAGCATTACGAACGAGGCGTTAGCGACATCCACCAGGTGCTCTTTGCTAATCGTTTAATTCGTTTTAAAATTCCTTTTCGAGACTTTTTTAACAAGATATTGGTATGTTCCGTGTGATACTGCTCTTTTGAACACATATAGACCAAAAAAATGAGCGCCGAAATTTCGTTGTAGTATCCCTTTAAAGGGGCCCTGCAATCATATTTAAGCGTCTACCTTTCTTGCGGTTTCCACGTCTCTTGGGGTTCGGGCAAGCCAGCGGGCACGGAGAGAGTAACTAAATATCAGTGCGTCATATTTTAACCGGGCGACGCGGAAACCTCCTCCACCGACGAGGGCGACCCGCGGTACCGAAAGCGCGCAAAATGTGACGTCTTTGGTCCTAGGCTTACTACTGGTCAGAGCCACTAAAAGCTTCTTTTTAGTCGAAATACAAAACATAAGTCGTGCGAATCGTTTCAATTATTTATAAAAGTAGTTTTTGTTCAGTATTTCAGATCAAAAAAGAAACGAATGCAGTTCATAAAGTACGGAAACAAGAAATGACCCGTCGACATACCCGCGACCAAGCGGTGGAAAAGGCGGCGCATACTAGAAAGGAGTAGTGGGATCAGGCGCCGACACGGAAAGGTCCCGGATGTACGCGGCGGCGCTGCGGTTGTATGGGCAGCAGGATCCGACCGGCTCCGAGCGTTCCGGAGGCACTTGGATTGAGCGCGTTGGTAATAAATTCAAAAATATACGAAAGAGTCAGACGAAGAGGACGGAGAGGACTAAGAGGACGAAGAGGACTTGCGGCCAAACCGCAAGACAAAGCTTCGCCAAGCCGCAAGACAAAGCTTCTCGCCTTCGGCGAGAAGCTTTGTCTTGCGGTTTGGCCGTTTCGCGGTATGGCAGAGCAAAGTAGCTTTCATTCTGAACTGATCTTTACCCCGTGTTTGCTGTCGTTTGTGGCCAATGAAGTGTCATGCTGAATTAGTATTTAATCGCGCAGCAAATGCAACGAGAGCCGCTCTGGCTGCCCGCTGCATAGAGCCTACCTAGAACTAGAACACGCTTTAATGGCGCCCTCTCGCGCCGTTGACACGGAGTGCGGCATCCGTGAGCGGTCGATGAGCTCACTACTCCTCTAGTACCAAGGACGTCATGAGGGAGGTTATTTTTTGCTTGTTTTTGTACTTTTAATTTGCCTATAGCTTTTAAAATAAAGGGAATTTCGAGAAAAGAAAAGTTTCACTAAGTTACTACGTTCAGTGCGCTCAGGTTCGGTGAAAACTAAAAATTAGTAAAAAAAAGTCATTGCAGGGCCCCTTTAAATGGTAAACAAAATGGTTAGGTGGCGTAAGCTACCGCCCGATCCAAAGTGCTCAGCCGGATTCATTTATCCATCCATTCATCTAAGGCGAATACACAGAAGATAGATGACGCAAGCTACCGCTCAATTAGAATAGTTGATTGAAATTTTTTATTTATCCATTTGTCTATATTTCTCCTTTATCAAATCTACCCATTCGTTCTCAAACCTGACGGGCTATCGTGCGTGATATCATGGCTTTCGGAGTGTGAACGCAGGGTTTTATTCCTTGTGCCGATGTTTTCCCCGCGTTCTGATGCGCTACGTGAGTCACACACTCGAGCGACCCGACTTGCGTGCTGCTCAAACCTCGCACGGGCTTCTGTGTTGCTGATCCGGTGCTGCGAACGACATATGTGAGCGGGCGTTTGCGGAGCGGACGGCGCCTTGAACTTGGCTGACGAAGGGAGCCAGGAAAGTTCGCTCATCGCCCGCGTCATCCCCCTTTGCAGCTAAAATGCCGCAATCCCTCGACCACTATCTCTCCTCGCTCCTGACCAAGGTGAGATCGGACTGTCCGAACCCGGGTTCACGAAAGAATCGGAGACAAAAGTCGTGTGGCGACTATCGCCCCGTGGGCGAGCCTTTTCTCGCTGATAAAGCTTCCTTTTTTCTTCGTTTCGTTTTCTTTTTCCGTCACATATTTATTGGACTTTAGCTACCTAGAGGCTTCATACCGTTTGTTGTCTCGAATCGTCATAAAGGGCCATAAACCTAACTTTGCCTAAACGTTTTCCGGGCTTGCTTCTGACGTCAGCTTCTGATTAATTTCGATCATACGTCGCGATGCCAGGAAAGCAACACAAATCGGGCTCGCGTCGGTCGGACTGACACACCTTGTAGGACCTCCGTCGAGTCCGGTGAAACTGCTCCTTGTGTTCCTTGGTTTGCAGTGACGGCTCTTAAACTCTCGAGGAAGGCGCCTTTGATGTCTCTCAGCTTTAACTATTCATGTTTTGGATTGAAATGCTCGAGAAATCCGCGATATCCCTCTGATTCTTACTGGGCTCCTAAGTGGGATTTGCTTTTATCTTCAGCTCAAACTAGTGGGAAGGACCATGGAGTGGATTTGTACTAGATTTGTTTCTGACATGGGTTCGTAGCATGGGTGCTGTGCTCTTCAGCCGATCACAAAAATGTAAACATGCCGTTCTATTTGGCATTCGAGTTACTGCTTGGCATCAGGAATTTTAAGGAAGGAACAGAAAAAGGATGTGTGTTTTGCCTCTTGGCATAGGATTCGAACCGAAAGCTTTACATTCCATGGAACTTGTGAAAGCAGTTATCTTGACTGGGAAAAGATGGGCACCATGTGTTCCATTCGCTTACGTCATATTGTTCTACCCTCGTGACATCTGTCGAGGCAATGAGTCTGGAGTTTGGGGTTTACTTATATCTGTGTGAAGGGTAAACTTCATTTGTGTATTGCATGCTCGGGACTGAATGCGCCTCTTTGCGAGACTCTACTCTTGCCAAGACCTTCACATCGTCGTACACAATGCTCTGGAGTAGGAGCCCTTTCTGGATGGATGGATATGTGTATGACTAAATCCTTTGAATTGGAGTGCCACCTTGTGCTACCTATCCAGTTTTTTTTAATATGAGCAGTTAACCTCTATTGAATATGCAAATAATTTTGGTTAAGCCTTTTCCGATTTATGGCAGTCGGTGCAACGAGTGTCAACATTAACATTGCGCTTCAAATGGTCAATCTCGCTCGCTTAGTCAGTTCTGTTGTCTACCCAGACAGTCCTAACCATGTTTTTGGGGCCCTCTGGGGCTACGGTTGTGGGACAGTTTGTTTCAGAGCGCAGCTCTTAAATGCCCATTTCCAATTTGCGTGGTGTCGCCGTTGGCGTGACTGCGCTTTGCATTATGGGGCGCTTCCCATAATGACGTCACGAGGGTAAAATTTGAACGCTAAATTTGGTAGAAAATTTTTCCACTAAATTTAGCAGAAAAATCTTCTGCTTAATTGGGCTGGAAAGTTTTCCGCTAAATTTAGCGGAAAAATGTTCTGCCCTATTCAGCGGGAATATTTTACACCCATGACGTCACATGTTGGTCATTGAGCGGAAAAATTTTGGTAAATTTCCTGCTAAGTTTAGCGGGGAAATTTTCGCTTAATTTCGCTGGAGATTTAGCGAAAATTTCCTGCTAAACGGGAGGGGAGGAGGCGAGGCATACCCTCCCTTCTTTATCCTCCCCTCGTCCTCCTCAAGAGCTGCCCTCTAATTCGGCATTGAAGATAATTGTAAACATCTTTCATTTTCTGATTTTGTCTTTGACTGCAACTTGATAGCCGACCTGCACCTGGCTTTTTCACTTTTTGTTTTCCTCCTCCTCTCTTATGTCATCTCCTCTGTCAGGTTTGATTGCTTTTGCCCTGAGCAGAAAATGTAACACAACACCTTCTAGTACATAACAGGATCATGGTGTTGCATCTGCATCACCTGCCAGAGCTCAGCACCGGGCACAGACCGGACAGGAATGCTACGTCATCATTTGGCTGTGATTCGTGTCCAATTTGTCTCCAGTAGGGTTCGCTCGAGGTCCAGCACCATGGCCTTGTTGGTCAAGTCTTGCCCTCCTGTCCTCACTGTTTGGGAGAGGGTGGCACCAGGGTAGTTCAGTGGTTCTGCTCACTGCTAGTCACGAAACTTCTCCGTAACGCTACAAGAGAGCTTGGCACGTGACTGTACCGCGGCGCTGGCGTTCATGAGGGGCTGAGAGCCACAAATCTAGCCAGCACTGCTAGGACTTTGGCAGGAAGTGGGCTGGAATTTCGAACGCACCCTGAATGAGCTACCCATGAATCACGGTGGCACAAACAGCTACGCAAACTTCCTTATCTAAAACAATTCCTGAAAGAACTTAATTTTTTGTTCCTTTTTCTTGTTTTAAAAGTAAATACTACCATCGCCATCCAAATTCGGCACCCCATACAGCACCATCCAGTAGAGGCACTGCCCAAATGCCCAGCTCTAATTCTCTTGAAAGCATCATTTTGTTTGAAAACAAACAAAAAAAAAAGCCTATTTATAAGTTATACCTTCGGAGATCAAAAAAGAAACGATAGTGATAAATTGGAGGTGCAACAAAATGTCGATGTACGAGAATTTTTTTTCTTTTCTTTTTATTGCTCATAATTGTGATTTCTATAGATTGAAGTGGCAAAAGTAGGATGCCCCCTTATTGACTGTGGAGCACCTGACAGCAGCTTTCAACCCCTTGCCAAACTTTGGCGGAAGTTTCGGGACCAATAGCCTTTTGAAGGCCTGTAATTATGCCTAAAGTCACTGGATCGTAGGAAAGTAGTGCCATTGCCTTCCCCACCTGTGAACAGAATATAAACAGGTGCTGACAAACAGATGGCCAAAAAGATTCTAAGGAGATTGGCTGAACATTGTCTGTTGCCTTGGCAATCGCCATTTCGGTCCTTGTGAATCTTTGTAGCTTCGAAAGGGCTGTTCTGAACAAGCCGCGCCAAGGTTGCGGGGGAGCGTCATCGTACTGAAAGTCTTCCTCGCCACTAAAGGCGTCTTTGGCACTGTGTATGCAGTTATCTTATCAGTCTGGCTCTTCTCCACGTGTCTTGTACAACAATATTGCTCTTTGTGTATATTCACGTGAGGAACATTATTTTTCAATGCCGTCAAGCACTGACGCCGCATGTGGTGGCGGTGCAAAGATGTGTGCTTGTTTTGCCGACGTGAGGTTATCGAAATCTCGGCATGCAAGAAATGCCTTTGTAAAGCAACCTGTCACCGCGAATTCGAATCGGCTCACCAAGACTGGAGAAGAGGTGAAGGAGAAACTGTCGCCACTTTCCAGGATTCAGTGGCTTAAATGGCGCCAAGAAAATTGTCTTCTTCGCATAAGACTGAGGTTGCAGAGTGGTCCACCTCTGAATGCATGAAGTGAGCGATACATGAAGGGGCAGAACAGATGAAAGCTGCCTCATCTGTTTTGTCCTTTCACATATCTCCTGTTCAGGTGTGATCATTCACCAACATGCTCAACCTTACAAGTTCGACATGCAGTCTGGAAGCATGTCAAAAACTGAAAAATTAAGACGTTTACAATTCTCTGTAATGCCCAATGAAAGCGCAGCTCCTGAGGAGGGGAGCTATGCCCCTCCTTTCCCTCCATTACTCTCCTGCTCCCCTCCCATTTAGCGGAAAATTCTCGTTACATTTCCTGCAAAATTTAGCAAAAATTTACCAACATTTCTTTGCTATATTTAGGGGGGAAACCGAATTGGTGCTGGGGGTCACGGAACTTCAATTTCCCCGCTAAATTTAGCAGAAAAATTTTTCCGCTAAATTTAGTGGAAAAGATTTTGTAATAAATTTCACGTGACGTCACATTCTCTCACGGGATGTCACATGTGACGTCACTAGGGTAAAATTTTTCCGCTCAGTTTGGTGGGAAATTTTACGCTCGTGACATCACATGAAGTCACACGTGATGCCACTATAGCGGGAAAATTTCTCGCTAAATCTAGCGGAAAACTTTTCCCAGGTTGAGTGGCATTATGTGTGACATCATGAGGGTAAAATTTTCACTCTAAATTTGGTGGAAAAATTTTATGCTAAATTTGGCAGAAAAGTTTTTCACTAAATTTAGCAGAAAAATGTTTAGACAAATTTAGTGGGAGAATATTACCCTTGTGACGTCACATATGACGTCATTATGGGAAACATCCCATAATGCAACGCGTTATGGGATGTTTCCCGTTCAACGCCGAAACAGGCGCCTCAGAGCTGAGCTCTGAAAAAAGGCTTTGACCAAATAATATTTTGAACGCTAGAAATAGACAAGCGAATGTGTGTATTTTTGGATGTAATGTGCATGAAGCTTTGCTGCTTTTCCTGCAGTACCACTACCCAGATCAGGCCAAGAAAGATGTCTCGAATGCGCTGCAGCACTACCGGAACCTGTCCCCGATGTCTTCGCAGTTCGGTGGGTCTTTTGGCTTCTTAATCTTATAATACACATTAAACTCTTAGCTTTGGTTTTCTGCATCATGCAGTGCTCAGACAGGCTGATCACTCTCCACGTTTTTTTTTTCAGGATTTGTCCCTTTGTGGATTGCTTGGTATTAGGGTGACTTTAATCCTTGGCATCTTTAAAACGAGCCAAAAGATTTATGCTTGGGAGAAGCGAGCTCCGAATTTTTATTATAGCCGTATTTTAGTGGTTGGTTTTACCTCGTGAAATTTCGAGGCATGGCTCCATCCCTTTGAATTGTAAAAAATATTCGAAGGGCGGTAAAATATTACTGGTCATCAATTTTTATAAAATTTTGACCATGCACTAAATATTCACCTCTGAGTATGTCTACGAAATGTCTAATCAAAACGTGCATTTTCTTGTAAGAAAGTGAATTTTGAAGTTTACGCGCACACCTCTGAGTCACTGGCTGCCGCTCTGGTGGCAACAACGAGCAGTGGCAGCGCTGTAATCATAGTGACGTCAAATGTTGTATTTGAGAGCAGACGCTCCCTCCCCTCCGGCATTGAGGCGATAATAAGCCTTTACAGTTTTATGGATTGTGTCTGCATTAGGCTAATTGGTGTTGTGCTGTGGGGTCTGCACGGGCCGATTTTAAGGAGCCTGGCCTAGCCCGGCCCGCTTGTTTCTTGGGCCCGGGTCCCCGCGGCTCGCTGTCCATTTCCGACAGCCGGGCCGGCCCAACACTAATTTTCACAAGCATGCAGCATAAATAGCTTGCAAGATTCACCGCGTGGCAGCTCACTTGCCACCGCTACTCATGTTGACTATGGTACCCAATGGTCAATGCAGGAAGCAACCTTTTTCTTTTTTCTACATTTTTCTGCTAAAATTAGTCGGACAAGGATGGTGTGGGCATGAGCTCGTGGCTTTCAGTGTCCCTGCCGAACATGCACGCTTGTGCAGTGCAAGCACTGTTCAGGGCTGCATGCTCGCTCTCATGGCATCAGCTGCTTCTGGACTTAAGCTGAAACGAAGTATAGGCTACTCGTTCAGAAAAGTCACCCCATCGTCCTTTTTTGCGGCCGAACCCGCGTATCGGAAAGGATGAAAAAAATAAAATGGCAAACAGCGGTAAACAAAACCATCTGTCTAAGAGTAAAAGGAAGGGAAACATCGCGACAGGTTCGTTTGCGTCGCACTAGCAGACGGTTTGCACTGTGCTAGCAAACAAAACCTTCCATACCACTCCGCTTCTGAAGCGGCATCTGGATCCACATTTTGGCAGTTCACGAATGCAGCCGCCACAGATGGTTGGTGTCTTTGGAAATTATGGCAGCGAATCGAATGCGAGCGGCGAATCGTCCGAAATCTCGTCGATCTCGTGCTTAAAATCTTGACATTTGCCAGTCATTGCTTGACCCAGAGGAGCTCAATGAATTGTGGTCCATTGTTTCCGACAGACAATTGCGACGACCTTCTGACTGCTTCTTACACTTGCCGAAATGGGCTCGAACTGCCCATGTGCTGGTGCTTATACAACATCTGACGTCACGACAAGATGGTAGACTAGTAACGTGGGAAGTTAGTTTCGGTCTCAATTCTGTCGTATTTCTATGATTGAAATCAATTTAGGAAGTTTTGAGAACATTTATTTGGTGCTCTAGGTTCAATTTAATGTGCTCTATCAGAAAAATATGTGCAAATATTGAGATAGATGCCTGAACTCCCCTTTGAAAGGGAGATCCTGGGATCTCTTCAGCTTTCCAAACTACTTACATTTTAGGATCACTCAAGCTTTACTATTCCTAGCATGCTATTTATTATTTAGAAATTCACAATATCTATCGAGAAAAGAGGTAATGAAAGTGACGTCACAAGTAGCATTCAAATTTCCCTGGGTTTTCTGGCCGCAAAACGTTTCATGCAAAACTTGCAGGTTAAGCGAGCAGTCTAAAAAACAGTATGGCGTGTGGGATCGAGCTTCCACAACATTGATCCTTACCGTTAAACTTCATAAAGCTGTCGGAAACAGGTTGTACTGCCCAAATGACAGCATCAGTCATCAATTGTTCGGCATTGCCATAGAGCCTTTCAGTATAAAAAAAATATTGAGGACGAAAATTTAAGTTGAGGTAGTAAAAAGAAAATATTTCAACCTAATATTTGGGTCACTAAATTCAGCCATGTTTATTGACACGTTGAACCAATTTTCAAGCAAATCTGCGACCGTCAAAATTTTTTCCAGAGCCCCCTTTAAGAACTTCAGTGACCGATGCCAACGCAGATGACAGAATCAGGCCAGCAATCAGGTTCGGTGCAGTTGAACAGACCCACAATATGTTACAATAATTACATTGTCCTCATGGGTGTAGTTCTCAGGCTAGCTGCTAGTGGCGCGACAGGGGTACCTCTTACACAATACCTGCCCCCAGATTCTATTAAAATAAGTTTTTGCACAATATTTACATCATGGGACAGATTTTGTGTTTAGGGCTGTTGACACAAAACACAGCTTGTGGCATTGTCCTCTGCTTCCAGTTTACTTTGGATTGATTTTTGGTTTTTTTTTGGGGGGGGGTAAGGAAGCATTGTACTTGTACACCCGACTGTTGGGGTCGCGACAGGCAGGAAGGACGTTTTGGCGTTTGTGACGTCATTTGTTGCCAGTTGGGGACCACTTTTAATCCGTGCGTGGGACGGCGAATCCACCCGCGGTAGACGTGTTGCAGGCTCTTTGCTCGTGACATAGTCCCGGGACCCAGCCACTTGCATTTTTTGCCAGGGTGTCGGTCACGACCTCCGCCGCTGTTCTCCCTACGGGTCCTCCCGAAAACCAGAAGGGGAAGGAGACGAAGGCAAGAAGGAAAGCTGCGCGGTATCGCAAACGGCTGCATGTATAACATTCTCATTGGAATTCGTATGCACGCGCAGAAGCATTAACAATTTTTATAAAACGCATACTTTTTTTTTTTTTTTTGCTGCGCGCAGCGCGAGTTGCCTTTTTTGTGACCACTCTTTAAGGGGGGGTGCGATCCCAAAATATGTTTTGGTTTTGCAGTTCACTTCAAAGTAGGAACACATTTCAGAATCGCTATAATGAGTCTTGCAACTTAAATGTAGCACCAAATTGTTTTTTTTCTGAACTTGGTGTTTTTTTAAGTGTTTTTATGCACTTAAGGCTTCCCTTGTAACCGGTTGTTGCGATGTCCATTGTCCAAATAATGCGCTGTGGTGCAGATTTTGTCGAGGTGAAATGGGCAATGCAAAGTATTCGGTTGAAATGCTCACTTTATGCAAGCTTACTTGCACCAGTAAGACCCAAGTATATGTGGCTTGCATACTTGGGTAGTAATTCAATTACAGTAATTGAATTACTGTAATTTAATTACTTTGCCTGGTAATTTGTAATTGTAATAATTACTTTTAACTAAAAGGAATTGTAATTGTAATTTAATTACTTTCTAGCGTCAGTAATTGCTAAATTTCAGGCACAATTACAATTACTTTTGCAAGATTTGGCGGCGCTTTTTCCCCTGGCCACGGAGACGACAGTACAGCCAAAGCGACAGGGGAGAGTGTGTCTCCCAACCTGCTCAAAAAAGGGAAAAGAGGGATGGGAAAGAGAGGCTGGGATAGAACGGAATGAAGGATTTTGTAGACTGTAAAACGATTTAATAAAGAATTTGAAAAATAATTTGATAAATGAGGGCTACACTCGCGTCCGTTTTCGTTCCTGTCGTAGTTGAATCTGACTCTTCCCCTCGTTCGCTTTTTGTTGCTTCTGTTTCTAGGGGTCTTTCTTATTTCTCATTCCCGCAGGGGGGCATCGGGGGTCGAAGTAGAGCTGGTTGGCTCCGACCACATCATCCGGTCGAGGCGGGGAGGTTCGAGGTTCTCCTTACGCGTCTTCGCCGCTAGCGTATTCGCTTACACATTTCAGTCAAGTTTGGGAAATTTTTTGTTCATGAAATTATTCTCTTTTCTTTATAAGTTTTTCACTTCCTTCTCCTCTATCTCGTATGTTGGTACCTCTAACAGTAAGTCGTACGACTCTTACATCAAGGCGAAGAAGCAAAGAAGCAGCAGGTCTCATTAACACGACTCACCCTGCCTTACTTCCAACTGTTGTTGCTACACTGCTCTTCCTTCTCCCAATCCTCGCCTACCTTTTCGTATAAATCTTAATTATTTAGTGTCTGCTCTACCTAACCCTTTCAACCGTTTGTCAGCCTGATTGGACGAGATTCCAAAACTTACAAACCGCGGCTTTAGACTGTAGGGAGCTTGTTTAGACATTTGTTGTCGTTGAAGGCTTCTTTCTTTTCTTTATTTATAGAGGGCTTGGCTTGCACTTTGTTTTTACACCTCTAATGTGACCCTCCACGCGTTGTCCTCTCGTCCTGGCCGGTGGAACCGTCCCGAGGCGCGCAGTGCTGCTTTGCATTGAGAACCTGCAACAGTCTTATATACAAGGGAAAAGGAAAGGCTGCATGCCGGGGCCTTGTTACGAAAAATTCTTTAAACAGATTAGCAACAATGTAGAAAGTATAATCGTTAGGTGCAAACTCTCCGCACCGTCTCTGAAAACAAATTCAACAAACCGAAAGGCGACCTCCAATTTGCGGAAACATTTGCTGGTAGGCAACTTTTTTTGTCACTTTCAATAATACTTACAGTTATAAAGAAATAATAATGATGGCTCGTCTATATCTTCCAGCTGAAACATGCTCAAGTAACTCATGAAATCGAGGCATCCAAGAGGCCGCAGTTCCAAGAGGCCGCAGTTAGAATCCGCCTTCGCGGATTCTAATTTTCGCGACGCGGTGGGGTCGCAATATAGATTCCAATGTGTTTACATTTTACCGGAATTGCTCGCGGGACTTATTTTTCGCGAATTGTAGGCGATTCGCGAAATTCGCGAAAATGAAGTCGTTTACAGTGTATCATTATTTTTTCGAGGTTGTTCTTGTCATGCTAAATTCAAATCGGTCTTCTTTATGAGACGCATAGCATCGATGCAATCATTGCAATCCTAATGATTAGCTACATGACGATCCTAAATTTATTATCTATCTCAGGAGCTTTTTGGGTGTTACCGTGCACTGAATTAACCCAGAATCCCTGGCAATTGCTGCTATTCTGACTTTAGTTTTGTGGAAGCGACCACAGTTCGCGTGCTACAGTTACCCACATTCGGCATGTTACAAGTCCACAGACAGGGAGAGGCAGCGAATCATCGTAGCTGAAATGTTTTTGGAAGTTGTCATATTCTTTAAATGTTTGACGTCGTTTACAAGTTTCTCTTATTAGCCATTTTTACGCGAGTTTTATGATACCAGTACTGCCGCATATTTGTTTCCTTGTGTTATTTTTAAGTTTATTTTTTGTTCGTTTGACTTAGTACCATTTGCATAAGCTCTAAGGAGATTCACCTCGCACCTGTGAATTTCGTCGCCATTTATTTTTTATTTTTTGGGAATATAAGAATGCAGGAGTTCATTACTTCAAACTATTAAGTTCTATAATCCATTTAACAAATTTCATAAAAGGAAAGTACAATGCGTGACAACTATACAGCGGCCATATAACTCGTTTACAGTTATATGGCCCAAGGTGGGGGTAACTCTCAGAAATAAGTAATTGTAAAGTAATTGCATTACTTTTAAAAAAGTAATTTGTAATTGCAATGAACTACTTTCACGTAGTAGTAATTGAAATTGTAGTTAAACTACTTTGGGACCTAAGTAATTGTAATTGTAATTAAATTACATTTTGAAAGTAATTTACCCATGTATGGTGGCTTGCACGTGACGTCGTTCCAGGAGCACTCCGACGACCTCCAGAGAAGAGGGAAAGAAGGAGATGCCCTCTTATTGGGATCTTCTTTTGTGCCTCCCGGATTTGCACAGACGTCGCTATTCTCCTCCTTATCACTTTGAATTCTTACAAAAGCAGCTTCCCTCTCCTCCTCGTACATGGTGGTCAAAAGTATGCGATGCGATGTCAGTGCAAGCCACATATATTTGCACGACGCACCACTGACCAAGGAATTACTTCATTGCAGCAAAAATTCAATGTTAAAGGCGAGCGTTTGCTTTCAATCTTTTTCACAAAACTTCACGGCGGAGGTCCCAGTGCCGACACGATTTCCCGAGCGACGACATTCGAATGCGGCTCGCAGATCGAACCCGGGCATCGTGCAAACACTCGATTTGGGCTTGCGATAATCGATAGCTCAATGAGCTTTCGGGTGACACACATCCAATTGCCATGACGACCACATTATCCAAACTCTAATGACGTTCATCACTTGGTGTGCGTTCACACTTTGCTAACCCGCAACGCGGCTACGATAAACATTAGCAACATATAATCGACTCCGGATCACGTGGTTGTTTGTTACAGCTGCGAGTTAAGGGGGTGAACGCGACTCGTTTTTCTTTCATTTTTCTTGTAACTCTTATTGCTTTGGAAGAAAAACAAATTTGTGTTTCGTAGGTCATAAACGGGCCAGGCACATATGCTAAGCAGTGTTTGTGCAAAGTAGAAAGACAATTACACTGTCCCTGACGTTTGTTTTCTTTTTAATCGGCAGTGCGAGGCATCCGTTGCAAGGCATTGCAGCGGTGCAAGGTGTCACAGCGAATGACACGCACCGGTGCGTGAATTGATGTTTTGGTGGACAGTGAGGGCTGGTCCACGCATTCACATAACAGTGTGATGAACCGCATTGCAACCGTTTGCAACGGCTTACGATGAGAGAACACACCACTGGTGCCATCTGCGGTGTTGCACTGGCACACACCTCGCATCCGCATATATTTTAGGCATGATTCTTTCGTTGTGGACTCGAAATAATTCTGACATTGTTAGGAACAACCCAAGGATAGTGCATAGATTTTATCTTGAAGGTACTGCAAAACCTCGAGTCTAGTTATACCCAGGTCGGGAGTAATCCTGGGCTGCTCGACAGACGGCGCCAGTGTGTCGGTGCGCTCTTGGGTTGCGACGCACTGGACGGCACTCTGACGCAGATGTGGGAGTCGGCCTCGATTGTGGGCGACCGTGATGGCTGGCTCATCCCATAAGCAAATAGAGACGAGTTTAGTCAGGTTGTGAATGAGTGGCGCTTGTGTCGTTCCAGTTTTCAACGACGGCACCAAGAAGGAGCTCTTCTGCCTGGACGGCACCATCCCTGTGTCATACAAAGGTGCCACACTTCTCCCTGTTTTCACGTCGTGTGGATGCGTTTGCGGGTCGTTGGTGGTCTCGACGTTCTCCGCTTGTATCCCGACTTACTCCGAAATGCGTGCCGCAAAGAGGAAAGACTGTCTGTAGTGAAAACCAAATCTAACCGTTGATAGTAAAAAAAAAAAATCTAATAGTGCGTTATTAAAAGACTATCGGTTGCACTATCGATAGACATCTCTTGCATAACTGTCGATAGCTGGGGTTTACCCTGGATTTTCGGTCTCGGGGCTGTTAAAACTTTATATTGCGGTACCGGGGGAGGTGTCTACTGTAGGTTTGTGTACTTTGCATACGAAATTCTGGGTGTGTTGGACCCAACCTGGGGGCCCAGGAGGGTGGGATGGGGAGGCGGTGTAGAGGGTGTATTAATCGCTGGGACCACTGTTGTCTGCCTTCGTGCCCCTCCTTTCTGAGGAACTAGAAATACATGGGACGATGGCAAACGTTTTTGTCTAGTTTTATTACATTAACTTTATTTGGAAAGCTTGCACTAGAGGCATGACCTCTACTGTGGGGCAGTCTGTTACAGGCAACCCTCAAGGGCACCCCGGGGGTCCCAGGGATTTCCCAGAGCGCCCTCAAGGGTTCCCCCCAGCTCTCTAATTTCCCTAATCGTTCCCGTCCCCGAGTAAAGCGTTGCCCAGTTTAAGCACCATTTTTTAAGACGCAAGCCATCCTTCGATGCATGGCAGTACTAAAGTGTATTGCCGTTTACAAGGACCGTAGGCTTCTGCACTGCTGGGTGCCTTGGCTATTGATCTAGCGCGACAGGAGTTCCTCGAGATGGAAAAGTAGAGCTCGACGTGCATGTGCAGGCAACGTGTACAACATCCCGGTGTGCGTGTGGCTGCTGGACACTCACCCGTACAACTCGCCCATGTGCTACGTGAAGCCCACCGCCTACATGCAGATCAAGGTCTCCCGGCACGTCGACCAGACCGGGCGCGTCTTCCTGCCCTACCTCCATGAGTGGAACCCCGTGAGTGTGCACGCGGCAACCACGACGGCTCGTAACCGCTTACAGATGACGCATTCTTTGCCGTCCGACGGCACTTCACGCATGCATTTCAGTGTCGTCCGAAGATGTTAAACAAGAGTCACACTTATTCTGACTTGTGTTCTGTCGGACGGCTCGCAACCGCTTACGACGGAAGAAAGCCGGAGAGCCTAGGTTTTGGAGAGGGAGCAACTTGAACCGCGGAGAGCATTCCAGATTTAATGGCGGACGTTGCTCGCACACTTCGGTGGCTAGCGTGCGTGCGTGCGTCCCCTTGCGGCAAGGAGGATGGCGGGTGATGAAGCTCGGCTGTGCCCGAGCTGAGTTTAGAGATGCTAGCAGGTGATGGACACTTTCGCCTTCTAGCAACTATTGCAAACATGGCCCGTGACCTGTAGGCTTCTTGCACCCGACGTCACTTCTGGTTAGCCTCGAAATCTAAACCAACATTGTCGTCTGCCATCGGTGCCTCGGCGTCATCTTGCAGGCATTTGGCGTCTTATTGCGGCAGCAGTAGCGCCGGGGAGCCCAGGTGTTTGCCTCGCTCGCGTTTTATGATAAAACAAATTGGTGGCGAATAGCCCACGGAACACGGGTCAGAATGAGCGTGACTTTTGTTTGACATCCTCGGACGACACTGGAATGCATGCGTGAAGTGCTGTCGGATGGCAAAGAATGTCTCATCTGCTAATCATTTGCGGTGACTCACAAGGAAATTAATGCCGCCACCTATGCGTGATATCGTCGGGGGATATTGTGCAAGACTTGTGAGCACTTTAGCCGGTCCTCCAACTTCTTGACTGGCTACACAGATGAAGACGGGAGATGCCGTGCCAGTAATTTCGTCCGCTTTACCTGTTCTAGAAAACCGCAAAGAGGTTCCTCACTTGGCCCGAAGTGCAGTCCACAAATTCCTAGCTTGCACAAAGCTTTTCTGTCGAGGTTGTGCCGGCTTATCTATCGAAGCCATTTATTATGCCGGCAAACCGATTGCTTGAGCGTTGCCCTGTCCTGGTTCCTAACAACTGCCACAATTAAAAAAAAAAAGCAATGCTGTTGACCATATTTTTATTTTGCCGCTGAATGTTCCGGTCGGAAGAATTAATTACGGCACAACTGACCATTTTAAGCCTCGAATGATCGGCGTGAAAACGGCCCCAAAGTACATAAAACATAGCACAACAGCGACAAATTCCTCCAACATGGAATCCGGCGTGTTCCGGCGAGATATTCGAATCGGAAGTAGCATTTCATTTTGGTCTCAAGCAAGGACCCTATGTAAGCCCAATCGGTTGGAAATGCCTTCAAATCTAGACGGGGCTGCAGTCGGTGATAGGTCATGATTTAAGCAGATGCTCCACCTTCGGCACGAGCTTTCTACCTTCGATAACGCTTTGTGCGTGAAGCACCCAAAGCCTAGCGGGATACAAAGAGTGCATGCTGGAAGTGGAGATTCTAACAAAAGTAAGTGTGCAAGCAAGCTGGTGTACAGTGAACTTTTCAAAAACTCTACACCAACGCTGCAAGGAGCTTGTACCGCCTTTTTAACCCCTCAACGGCTATAGAGAACAGACTTGTGCCGTATGTCTGGGAAACACTTCATATCTGCATATAACTTAACTATAGGTTTTGCAGAATTTGCCGCATCACGTCTACGTCTCTGAGGAATTGTTGCTCGTAACATTGTCAGAAGTATTTCCAGCCCAGGGTAAAAGAAGGATGCGCAAGAAAAATAACAGAGTGTATGCAGATGGGGAGTGTTCCGGGGCTACCCGACAGATGGCGCCGGCGTGTCCTCTCCGGCACGTTTTAAAGTGCTGCTCTAGTCCGACGACTTAGTCGGTGACGTCGAGGTCTTTTATTCAGAGACGGGACATTCCGACGAAAACCGTCTTTTTCCCACTGACCCGTTTGCTCTTGCTCGCCGTCTGCTTTTACCTACCTCCGAGCTGAAATCCCGCGCAACCGCTTTAAATTTTTAACGCTATCGTCGTAAGTGGTTGCGAGCTCTCGTAACGCACTCAATCTCGCTCGAATGCAAATTGTTTGAACCAAATTGTGCGAATGCAAATTGTGCGAAGCTAGGATGCTTCCGCTGGAGGCAGGACAACCGAAACTCCTCCTTGACATCTTGATAATGATTATATTCGTATTCTAAGCTTCGTTATTCGTCGAGATCCTCGTATCGTCTGTAGCGATTGGCTGCCTCCGATTTGTAGGAAAGTGAACTCTCGGACTTCTTCGAGACCGTACGGCCGCGGTGCCCCTGGTTCGGGGAGGACTCGACAAACCTCGCTTGCTCTTTTGCAGAACTCGTCAGACCTGCTGGGGCTGATCCAGGTGATGATCATTGTGTTTGGGGAGACACCGCCGGTCTTCTCCAAGCCCCAGGAGGACAGCGGCTCGGGCTTCTCGGCCGCGGGTGGCGCCCCCTACCCGACCAGGCCGGCCGCCGGGGGATCCTGTGAGTGGTCCTTCTCGCAACTATGGCATTGACATCCTATACTGCCCGTGCATAGAATCTGGCCTCGAAGTGGCGACGGACAGTGTCACGGATGCCGGCATGTCGTACCGGCAGGTGCCGCGGTCCTGGCGGTTGGTTGTAGAGGTTCAGGGGGAAAAGTATGAGCAAAGGTCAGTGTCGTGATGCTGGTAACGTCCCAACCCCGGCCGTTAAAGTTTCCGTGAACCGTCGACTTGCAGGACAACTCGCGACGCTGCAATGATCATGGCACGGAACGGCGCGACGCTTCCGTGGATTCGTCGGGCGGAAGTCGAGAGGCCATATTTTAGGAGGTGGTCAACGCCGGTTTGAGACGGGCTCCGGGTACCAGACCGTAACTGCGTTCCACGGAACGATCGTAAGCTCGTGCTGCAAGCGAGTTCGTCTGCTCCTTGCGCGAAGGTACGGCGATGCCGCAGCACTGAGTTCTGATTGGAGGACATGGTGGCTAGACAGGAATGCCTTTCCGTTTACTCACTCTATCCTCCATTCAAAGCTTGCAAGTTGGTCGGGATGCCGAGCTCCAATATCGTCTGCTAGTCGTGGCAGTGGCTGCCTTGCCTTTTGTGTGGTGTTCAAAAATCCACCAAAACGAGGACTTAGTTTCTGAAAAAAGGCGAGTTGAAATAGATAGAGTGGTACATTGTGCTTGTAGATTAACAACCACCAGACGCGCCACATTGAACCGAGAGATCGCGGATACCAAATCTGGCTGCTCCCCGTTCAGAGGGTGCAGTGACATCACGGCACCAAGTTCTGATTGAAGGACGTAGCGGGTAGACACAAAGGTTTTTGTGTCTACTCACTGTCCTTGGAGTGAGCAAGTTGGTCGGGACACCGAGCCCCGGTGTCGTCTGCTAGTCATAGCAATGGCTGCCTCGCATTTTCTATGGCTTTCGGAAATTCACTGGTTCTTTACAGGCAAGGGCTTTGCTTTCGAGAAAGAGGAGACGAAACGGCTCGAAAGGTACATTGTTTTTTTCTAACTACCAGACACGCTACATCGACCGAAGAGATTGCTGCCGAAATGTCGTTCGCTCTCCACCAAAAAGAATAGCGTCTGCTTAGGTGGATCTTGTTCAGTAATGGGTCATTCCATGTCAAACGTCCCAGACGTTGCGCTGGACCCCTTCCGATTTCTAAAAAAAAAGTCATGGCCTTTTGCTGCAATGTCCGTAACCATGCCCTGAAATACTTCTAGCGAAAAAAATGTTTTGATGACGTGAGCGCGGTTTTAATTTTTAAAAACAGCTTGAAACTAGGCACCAGTGAATAATTGATAAAAAATCAGCTTTTTAGTGAAACACCGAACAATATGTTTTCTTAAATTTCCATGCCTTTCGATTTACAATGTGGTTGGGCTGGTGAAGTTTTGTTTAATTTCAATAATTTTTAAAAAACTAAAAAAAAGTTTGAAAATTTTAGCATTTTTGTTATTTTATCAAAAATATCTAATTGCTACCGGGACCTAATAGAATTTTTTACTGGCTGCCCTGCAGGTATCTAATCAGTAAAACATCTTTAAAACTGCTCAATTAAGTATCGCAATAAACAAAAATCCTGAAGTTGTAGAAAAGTGTGTTTTGACGCATAAACAGCCGTTTATTTGACCCTGAGGTGGTCCAAGTAAAAAATACAAAATATGGTGTGTTTGGAAGAACAATCAATAATCTTTTGATTCTGAAAGTTTAATCAAAGTAATTTTTGTTTAAAGCGAGAAAACGATTTTTGAAGTTGAACTCTCGCACTGCAATCTGGCGTCTCTTCTTATCGCCTCTTCGCTGCACAGCACGCCACCTGCGACGATAGCTGATACGATTAGGTCCAAAGAAGGAGCAAAGTTTTCTGCCGCTTCCCCGTGTCCGTCTGTCCGGCTGCAAGGAAAGAAACGGCGGGTATCGTGTAATAATCAGAGGTGCCGCCAGCACGTAGCAATAGTACCCGAGGGTGGCTCGAAAAACGGTGCCTTTTCGTCAGTTTTGGGAAGCACTTTAAGTACATTGTTTTTAAACTAGTGCTTCGAGGAGGTTTAGAATATGTGCACTTGAAGTACATTCTCTAAGTATGTAGTTGTACCTTACTTGAGGTGTTTTTTTCGCGTGCTTTCCGAAGACAGTACAACTCTCGAATTCAAAGTATGTTTCCCAAATTTGGTCTCGTTAAAATTGTATGACAAAATGATGCTTTGTCAACTCTGAAGCCACTTGTCTTTATCCAATATTCGCCACCATTTTTGTAAACAACTGATGCACCCCCGATCACTCCTGGGGCAATGCGTACCAGATTTAGAAAAAAAAAATCTGTATAGGGGAATGAAAGGGCATCATTAAAATGTAGTTGTACTTAGCCTTGAAAGTACATTATATTTATAGCACTTCAAATCAAGTACACAGTGCACCCGGTTTACTTACTACTTTACTCGAAGTACATAACCTCTCATTTATTTTGTACCTTACTTCGAGTACTTTAGCCAACACTGCTTTTTGTCTGTCCTTCGTCGTTTGTGCCATTTTAGTAATTCCTAGTGTGGTTTCCACGCCCTTGCAGCGTTCATGCACATGCTGGGAACTGCGGCCAACCCTCCCTACTCATCTGCGGCAGGGCCCATGCCACCTTACCCGACCAGTGCATCAGGTCCCATGGGGTGGTCACCCTACTGTGAGTGCCATGGAGGAACCGCTTCCGAAGAGGCGCGCCACGCGAATTGCGCTCTTCCTCGGCTGCTCCTTTTATTATGATAAATCAGCATCTTGCGGGCATAAAGCTATACACATATTGAATCTAGAGTCTCTAATCTAGCCACGAGATGCATTGACAAGTACAAGCTGCCCAGATTTTCGTGCAAGACCAGCAAATATTACATCAAAACCAAAACAAGTCTTACCGACGAGCAGTTTTTGATGCTTCGGGCTTTTTTTTTTTACAAATCATCGCTGTCGGGACTAAGATCTGATGATCTGACATCTCCCAACACCTTCGTGCTAGTATCGGCAGCGAAATGGACCACAGACGCTCTTAAATCGCGAGACTTCAAGCGCTTCCGGGGAGGTGCACCGCGCTATAAAGATACGATGTTCACAGCGCGGAGCACTTTTTTTTGGCTGCATGTTTGGTTACAATAAATCGCCATCTCGTAGGAGAAAGAAGAACTATACAAAGTCTAAAACTAGTGTCTATTCTAACCACCAGATGTCGTAACTTGTCCAGAAGTGCGTCGGAGGCGTTGCATCGGGGCTCGCAAGTCATCAGTCACATGCGGTAGATTTTGCCAGGCGTGGTACGAAAAGAGTTAAGAAGGAAAATATTTTTTGTGATGTGAAACCCAAGTTTGCCATTGGAACAACTCCATGTGCTAAAGAGGCTGAACTAGAGTCACTGAATGTTCCCAGAGTACCGAATTTTATGCAATCCGGTTACCGGATGCCAATCCCCGCAGAATTCAGTTCTGATTGGCTGGTTTATCCCATGGCGGAAGTTATCAGTCGGTCATTTATCAGGCCCAAAAGAACAAAAAACATCCATAAAACGTTTCTGCATTACCACGACTACGGCGGGTACGCACGGGTGGCAGATCTGGGCATTGATGAGTTGGGACCGAACGAAAGGTGCGTTGATTTTCTCTAAATTATTTAATATCAAGTAGCCGCTAACCTGGTTTGCCAAAGAAGATTGCCGGTTCACTTGCTTGCTCCGATTGCGCTGGTGCTGCGTTTCAAACTCTACGCTTTGGACGCTAAGCCTAACACTTGACTCCAAATTGTTTCAAGGCGAAAAAGAGACGAGACAGCAAGGAGCCAGTCACGCACCGCTCAGAACGAAGGAAAGAACTCGCACGCAAACGAACGCTGTGCCGTATGCACTTTGTTTCGACCGCACAGGGCAGCGCCATGTTGGGGATCGCAACTGCAGCGGTGCGACTCTGTTCTAAAGCGAAGCTTGGGAGTTTCAGTACTCGGGGAACATTCAGTGACTCTAGGCAAAACTGACTGAGGACGTCACTAATATTGCGAAAGTGCCTTAGGAAAACTGCAGTTTTCTTTTGAACTGTACTATCGCGCTTTCTTTTAATTTAACGCCGACCAGTTATGGTCTGCCTCTTTGATTTGGTCGGCATTTCACGTAACTTCCGATAGGTTGTTGTGCATGACCCAACAAATTAGGGAAAAGGGTTAGAGCAGTAATTCTCAGCCACTGATGTTCCCCATCCACCGGAGGGAGGGGAGGAAGTACAGTGAAACCAGTTTAGAACGAACCTGCGTACAGCGAATTATTGTCGATATCGAACTTATGGAAAATTTAAATAAAAATGCATGTAAAAAGTACTTCTTATAACGAACAATGCATTGGCTATATCAAACTTTTCCCACCGGGAAGGCTCCCAAAAACGCGCAAACAATCGTCTTCTAGCCTGTCCCCCCCCCCCCAACCACAAAAAAAAAAATAGTAGGAAAGAGAGAAAATTTCAAAAGCTCAAGCCCCGAACAAAAATGAGCGAAATGAAACAATTCAGAAGGGGAGAAAGCTAAAAAAAGAAACGCTCTACACGCACGCACAGAAAAAAAAAAAACTTTTCAGCAGTTGCCCACGAAGAGAAGCGATTCAAAAGGAAAGATGAGGTAAAAAAAAACCAAAAAAACAGCGCGGTGTTACAAGGCAGAAGTGAAGAGATGAGAAAGAAAGAGAAGCTTTCGCCTTACAATGAACGCATCGTGGAAGTTCCTTGTACATGGTTTTTGCTATATCGAACTACTTGCTATATCGAACTGATTGGAGCGTTTCCTGCTGTTCGTTATAAACGGGTTTGACTGTAATGGGCAATTGCAATGACAAAAAAGTAAACGAATACTATCTGCAAATCTGCCTGAAATTATCAACCCTTCTCACTGCAGGCACGCAGGGTTCTGTCTATTCAGCTTTGTGGCACAGCCATCTTCTACTAAAAAAAAGATAGTTTTATTGCTCGGCTGGATATACGATCGAGGGCCTTGTGCACCCTAAAAGTGTCTTCTGAGTCTCCCATTTGAGAACCACCGGGTTAGAGCGTCTATCCCTGAGAAAACGCAAAAATAATGGCTCTCGGATGCCCACAATTAACTTTTTCTAGCTTCTTTTGGTCGCAGTAAATCTCTGATCAACGGAATATGTTCACACTTGCCGAATAAAAAGTGATCTGGGCTTGAGGAAGCCCAGATTTCTGAGTGTGGTGCAAGTGTCGAACCTTCCCGTTGGCTCGTGCGACCTCCCATTGCAGCAACCCCCCTGCCGTCGACGACGAACACGCCCGCGGCCACGTCCGTGGCCCCCACGCCGGCCTACCCGCCGTATCCCACGGGCAGCACGGCGTCTTACCCACTGTATCCGACTCCCGGCTCGGGCTCCGGCTACCCCTACCCTCCTGCAAGCACGGTCAGAATTGTCTCTTTGTCTGTGTTTGCTCGGGACGAAAAAACCGCGGGTTATTTTAATGAGGAACCTTCGTATTAATACAGTCGGACGCCTTTATAACCTCTTTTACAGAAATGACAGTTTATTGAAGTAACCAAAAGGCCCCACGATTGCAACGTGGCGTTACAGAAGCGAGTGGGAGTGTCTGTGACTGTGGCGATGGAGGTGGGCAGGTGGTTCCAGTCATTAGTAGTCCTTGGGATGAAAGAATCAAAAAAGAGCTTTGTGCGACTGGAAGGAACGTTGACTTTATGGGGATGATCATATTGATGGGATACATACAATGGTTCAGAAAAAAGCTCTTCACTTAGATGCTGGTTGTGATGATAAATTTTGTGAAATAAGGACAAACCAGGTAATTTTCTACGCAATCAAAGATTCGGAAGATGTAAAGTTAGTTTCATGGATGATACACTGGAAAAACGTGAGAAATTAGACAAAATAAAACGTGCGCCACGATTCTGTACGGATTCAATTTGATTAACAAGAAATTCATGGCCTGGGTCCCACACCGAACTCGCATACTCAAGCTTGGATCTAATGAGGGTCTTGTACAGTAGTAGTTTTAATGATGAAGGAGCCCTTGAGAAGTTGCAACGTAAGTAACCCAGCATGCGATTAGCGTTGTTAGCAATAAAATTAATGTGAGTTTGCCAGGAGAGGTTAGTTCTTATATGGACACCTAGGTACTTGTACGATGTCACCTGTTCAAGAACAGAACCAATGTTATATTGAGGAGGGTTAATACAGGCAGCGTTCCATGAAATTCTCATTACTTTACATTTATTGCTACGGTGTAGACCGCATATAACGTATGTCGCGGGAGTCACGAAAATCCGCACTATAAGTGGTACCACGCTATAACCAAAACATCAATTTTTCAGGCCAAAATACATGCCATCAGACAACTTACCTTTGTAAAACAATTTATTTTACGTTAGATGAAAAATAAAGCTTAGTTTGAGGAAAGTCTTCATTTCACCAGACTAGTACACTTCTCTCTCAAGTGTGTCACACATTTTGAAAGAAATGAGCGATTTTTGCCTGGCGCAGCCTTTTAACGGCGTCGCGGGTTGTGGATGGACGTTGCTAACGTCAGGATTGCTAACCCTAATCACTTTTCTCCGGCGATGAAAACGCATGAAAATTCGCATCCTTTATACGGTACACGCCAGTAATACGTTCAACTTGAGCACAGGCACGAAATGCTCCAAATAAGAAATCCGGGCAATGTTTGAAAACACAAATGCTTAGAAAGCACCACTGTAGTCGAAGTAAACAAACACGACGACACGGGCGTTTCTGCCGTCTTGAGAGTGTTGCCACAACATTGCCGCACGAGTAGGTGGATCTTCCCTTCTAGTACGTGCTGGGTTATCATAGCGACACACAACGAAAATTCACTGTCAAGATAGCGCTTTTACGCGGAACAATGAGCAACGATCACAACTGACGCCATGTTTGCGGATAGAAGCAGCCGGCCCGCGACCGGCATGCAACGCGCGCGAACACTTCTCCTCGACCTGTGATTGGTCTGTCGTTGCGGTTGTTTCCAATGCAGCGGAGGGACGCACGCACGTGAACGACACGTGCATGCGTCCCTCCGTCGCTATGGCAACCGAAGCCTCTCTTTTCGCTTCTTCGAGCAACCTCCTTGCCCCACGAGTGCTGCTCGCGGCTAGTGCCGTTATCTAGTGCCGCGCAGGGAAGCGTGCGGTCGGCGGGCTGTTCCAGAAACCGCACTATAACCGATATTTCCCTCCGCGCGCCTGCATTTTAGGTGGTATGTAATTACATGGGAGTTCTATGGGAGGCGAACCGGTGGTTTAAAAAAGCCGCGTTATACCCGGTCCTGCACTATAAGCGGTTACGTTGTAAGTGGTCTATACTGTACTATTAAAGTGCATTTTCCAGATGTCACACCAGTAAGTGATTGAATTAAGGTCAGTCTGAAGAAAAGACGTATCAGTGTCAGAATGTATTACACGATAAATGACACAATCATTTGCAAACAACCTTATAGATGACTGGACATTGTTAACGAGGTCATTTTTGTATACGAGGAAAAAAAGCGGGCCGAGGACGGAACCTTGCAGCACACCCGAACTAACAGGGCAGGGAAGAGAGTCTGAGTCGTTTGCAGATACAAACTGTGTTCTGCTAAAGAGAAAATTTTTGATCCATGCAAGAATGTTAGAGTCAATGTTTAGTCTTTTTAATTTTAGGCAGAGCAGTTGGCGAGGGACAAAATCAAAGGCTTTTGAAAATCAAGAAATATGCAGTCGATCGAAAGATTATTGTCTAGGGCAGAAAAACGATTGCTCGTGAAACAAACCAGTTGCGTCTCACATGAGAATAATTTGTGAAAACCATGCTGACGATATGTGAAAAGTTATTTGGATTAAAGAAAGTTAACTAGGTTAGAATAGATGATATGCTCCAACATTTTACACGGGGAAACAAAGACACTCCTTCGGCATTCACGTGGCGAAACCGATTACCGAAGTACACGTTTGACGATTGGGCTAGCTTTGTGGAGGCGCCGATTTTTGCGGCTTACTTTACGAGCTGCTTTAGGAGGGCCGCCTCCCTACGCATGCGTTGGCACCACTGTACGTCGTAGAGAAACGCACAACCGCAAACGTTTTTTTTGGACGGCCGCCCTTGCAGGCTTCCCCGGTGACGCAGCCAGCCACGGTGGGACTCCCCCCGAACACGGGCACCATCACCCAGGAGCACATCAGGGCCTCCCTGCTCACGGCCGTGGAGGACAAGGTCAAGGGGCGCCTCAAGGAGGTGCTCTCCGTCGCCCAGGTAACCGTCCCGCCAACCCCGGCAGTCACGACCAGGGTGTAAGATAGACAGGTGGGGAAACGGCCCATAGGAGCCTACCGCAGCGCCGTGACCAAATTGTGTTCTCGTCTGCTTGCGGGTACCCCCGACTTGCGACAGATGGCGCTGCGGCAAGAGGAAAAAAATCAGAATCAGATTTGCGTGTAACTCTATGGAAGAGTGCGCAAAACAAACCGAGAGCACGACAGTCCTCCATTGAAAATCCACGAGAAGCCATCTCCGTCAGTTTAGCTGGTCGCCATTGGTCGCACACCCCGAGTGAGAGTTTGCGGTGCTCCACATAGATGGCGCCACAGAAAAAGAGAAAACCGAGGGGGGCAACTTCAAAAATATACGAAACAGTCAGATGAAGAGGACGAAAAAGGACTTCGTCCGACTCTTTCGCACATTTTTGAATTTATTACCAACGCGCTCAATCCAAGTTTAATGAGGGGGACACAATGCAGTCGCTCATTTGGCTCTCGTTTCCCCACCTATCTTACACCCTGGTCACAACGAAGGTCGTAACAGCGACCCCTCCCGCGGCATTGGCGGGGCGAAGCCGTGGGTAATGCCGTTAGAGACGGATTATTTACTGTATTTGCTTGAACCTAGGGCTACCACGAATTTAGGACGACCGCAGCATCGAGAGCCAGCACGGTCGGTCGCCTTCCGTGTTTTTGACGCGTACCAATAAATCCGTAAAAGTATACTCCAAACCTTTTTTTTTTTTTTTATCGTAATTGGGGGAAACTAGGAAACCTCGAGTTCAAGCTCTCCTCAAGCACGGAAAACCTGAGCTTCGTGGGAAAATACCTTTGCGTGCGGCTTTATTTTCAGTTGACGCGGAATGCAGCCCACACTGAGCTGTTTCTTCCGATAGGGAACCAGACTCCCTATCTCGTTTCATTGTCTTATCGGTACAGGATTATGCATGTTCCCTGGGGGTTGGGGGAGCCCTTGCCACATTTTCTTCGACATAAGTCTGGATGAATGTCGATTTTTTGTTTGAAGGCGAACATTTACATGAAAAACACCAATTCTGTCAATAGAGATAAACCCCGAAAAACACCCCCAAATTCAAAGCAGCCGAAAACGCAAAAACGCAGTACCCTATTTATAACAAGCGCCTCTACCATAAAAATGCTCGTCGACAAAGTAGAATCGTAGCGAGGCCCATTTCACGCATGTCAAATATGTTATAATTATTATGAATAATTTTTGTTTTTACTAATATCCTCATTTAAGAAAAAACTTACGGAATGTGCGAGGAATAAGTGATTGCTAGTACAAATGTTCTCGATAAAAAGAAAGAAATTTAAAATAAATGGTCTCACTGGTGACACATTGGGCAAGTTGCGTAAAATAAATGCGACGGCGGCTGTAGCCACCAATGTGCTGTCCCGCCATATTGATTTGACCACCAGGGGTGGAAGTGAGTGGGCAGACACGGTACGGGTGCAGCACACCTTTTAAGTAGCCAGGCAGTCAAATCCAGGGTTGTAAAAGTTGCTTCAAAAATATACCTAAGATACAGTTACAGTTACTCATACGAAAAGCTACCTGGGTGCTTGCTTAAAAATGTACCTAGGTAAAGGTACAGTTACCTCAAAGATACTTTATTTGTTTTCCCCAAATTTGTCAGAATAGTGGCGATGTGTCAGCTTGAACTTAGAGAAATAGACGTAGAAAGGACAGGACAATAGATAACAGCTGAATATATTGGAAGTATTCATACTAAGGCTATGCAGAAAAACGAGTTGGATAAATGTGCTTTATTGGGGTGATTGTGATGTCCACATCGGAGTGGAGTCCTTATCCCTATGCTCCAATTGGTTCACCGAGGCCACAGCTTCCACTGTGTACCATGTCGCGCCCAAACTGCCGGAACTCGCTTGTTGACGTTCTTGCCCTCAGAGCTGGTGCTGACGTCGACGAGCCCAGAAGGCGTCGGCCGCATGAAGAATGAGTCGAGTGCATATGCACCTAACCTTAGCGACGACAAGCAAAAGGCTTCAGCCTTCCTTGTTTTTTTGTTTTTTTTGTTAGTTGGAAGAAAAATTACTTTTATTTCATTCGGGACTTTTTCAGTTTTGATAACTGCAAAATTTGAGTCGGATTTATTGAGTGGAAACTGTATTATATATGCAATGTTACATTGCTTTACGATTGTAATTGCCATTTATTTTCAATTATATTTATATTGTATTTATGGCAGAAAAGAGCCACCACAAGGACAAGATACAGTCGCCGACTGATTTTTTGGACACGTCCAATTATTCGAACGTTTTCGCCAAACCGTCACTCACCCCATAGAGTTAATAATAATAATAATATTAATCTTTATTGGCTCAGGAGAGCCGTGGCACTTTGAAAAGGCAACAGCCTGTACCATGGAGGCCCGTGGTGCCATGCCTAATGATGATTATGAGATGATATGTACAAGAGGAGAACAACGCAGTCTTCTCAACATCGCACGGACCGTTGCTCATGCTAATGTATAATATTGACTGAAATTTTGGACGCCATAAAGCTTATTGCTCAATGTTTCGGACATAATTTGCGTGATTTCCTCAGAGAACAGCCGCCGCAATAGCGCCGCGAGCCTAGTCGCCACCATTTTGGTAGTTTTCATTTTGCCCTGTAGCTTCGATACCACATCGTATGCAATGAACAAGCTGGGTTAAAGCTATTGTCGGGTTTCCCAGTTCCGCTATGGCAAACATGGCCGCCGTGCGTGCCCATTCTTATGGCTCTTGCAGTTCTTCTCGGAGTCTGCGTTTTTCGAGTGCGACCGCAAGAAGAGCGGCCACCTGTCGTTCCTGCGGTCTTTGAGCGCGAAGGTGTTTTGCCGATGGGCTTAGTATTGAAGCGGGCTTGGTGGACTAAACGTTGTCTTCAAATATTGCCAAATGGCGCCAACTTCAGCTTCGCTGTTTCTGCCAACAAAGGCGCCGACAAAGCGCAGCATCTTGATCAAACAGGTCAGAGTTGCACGAGAACTGAGTAGACATCAAGCAAGTGGAATGTGGCTAATACGCAGTGGAATATGCGCGGAAATTCTATATTTTGGGCTGAAATCGATTTTTCGGACCGTTTGATTATTTGGACGATTTCGGGGTCCCCTCAGAGTCCAAAAAATTGGTCGGCGACTACAGACAACAGAAACTGTGCACATCTTTCAAGTTATCTCCTTTCTTGTATAGCTGTCAGAGGAGCTTCAAACACACAATGAAGTCGATTTCGGTTTGAGATGAAGGAAGCAGGTCGCTATTTTTCCTAGACGAGTTATGAAGCGATTCGATAAATTGGTGTCACTAGAATGGCGTTGCTAGTCCACCGTTAGCTCAAATGAACACCGCCATTCACTAAAGTGTCGTTTGATGAAACATCATGGACGGGGCTTCGTTCGCTCAAACGTTGTTCGATCGAGTCGGTGCCTCCCAGGTCATATTCAACTCGACGGTAATTGCGGCACGTGGCAGTGTGTTAATGCTTCAAGATTTATAGTTTCTACCATTTTGACGAAGTGAATAGAAAAGTTCCTGTAAAATGTAACTTCACGTTACTGGCAAATGTACCTAAGATACGTATACAGATATTGAGAAACGAAAGTACCTAGGTTTGTACCTCAGGTACAACAAAAGTACCCAGATACCGATTTCCAGTTACTTGTACCTAGGTACATTACAACCCTGGTCAAATCTGCCACGGGGCATTCCCGAGGAACTCCGGGGCTTCTGCAGACCTGTTTTGAGATGGAAACGTGGGATTGAGGTTGCCGGTTCAGGGGAAACCGAGCTTGCAAAGGATTCACTCTCCACTCTGGCCGCAGGCGGAGATGGACGTGCTGAAGAAGACCCACGATGAGCTGAACGCTGGCAAGACCAGGCTGGAGGACATGATCAACCGCATGGACAGGGAGCAGGTGGGGCAGCACTCTGCTATAACCAACTTGATTTCTTCACATGCAGGCTTTATTAGATACCAGAGTAAATGGATATTTTGTTGCTCAGATGTGGCAGATGGTATGCAACCTCCTAGGAGGAATGTTTCAGCATGAATCACATTGTCAGTTGCACGCTTTATCTCGGGGTCAAGGTAGCTTGGAAGCAAAGAGACAGGAGTAGTTTTTAACTTGGCTTCACTGTAGGTAGAAAAGGTTTAGGCCTCTGAAGCCAGTAAGGTGTTTAAATGTTTCTGTCAATCGTATATTGTTACAGATAAAAGATGCAGAGGAATTTAGATCTCAAAATAAAAATTAAAAAAAAAAAAAACGCAGGTTTGAAAAGAAAAAATATTAGTGTTTGTGAAACTATTTTTTTTTTATCTTTTAGTTATCATAAACCAACCAGTAAAACTTTTTCACTGTAGTGGGTTCCTAATTGACGCGCACTTAGCAACGAAGTAATAATTGCACCACGAAAATGCAACTAAAAATGTGCAAGTTTGACGAATTTTTGATTGCGAATAGAGTGGCCAACCGCCACAATCTCGGGCATGTTCGAAAGGATATTCTCTTCCCTTTAAAATGGCACTGATGATGTACTGCCTACATCGAAAGCGCGTACAACATGAAAATCCGGAGCACGCAGCAGCCATTCTAACTTCATCGAATGCATGATTGGAGCGTGTGCTCTGACTGGTCATGGGTTCGGTTGCCTGGGAAACCACGCTGCACAAACCGGTTGCCGGGAAACGAGCGAGCCTTTGCACATGCTTTCCTCTTTGCCTGTGCTCTTTTCGTTGCTAGTCACAGTAAAAATATAGACCCTTGATCTGGTGGAATCATGCACATTTGGTAGAAATTGAAGCGTTAGCAATCACATATCAAGATTTCACAACTGGCAAATGATAGACAGCGACTGTTGATACTAAATTTTTAATAGATAAACTTTTCATCATTTACTTTTTAATGACATGTCACAGAAAGCTCGAATCCATTCTTTGCTTTCCGCTTTATGTCAAATTAGAACAAAATATTAATAAACATCAAATTTTAGAGCACAGTTCTTAGGCACCCGTTTCCGGCTGGAGCAGCGTCGCTGTCGCCATCGGCGTGACTGTGCGGTGTATTGTGCGAAACGTCCCATAATGCACCGCGGTGACGCTCGCATTGCATTATGGGACGTCTTCCATAATGGAAGAGGAGAAGGAGGAGAGGGTGCGGATGAGGAGGAGGGGCATACCCTCCCCTCCGTACCCTCCCCTCTTCTCCTCAAGAGCTGCGCTCTAATTCAGCCTTACAGGGGATTGTAAACGACTTTCATTTTTTTATTGTTTTTCTTTTAACAAACAAAATAATTTTCAAATTACTTTTTTATATTGTTTTTGTTAAGTGTCAAAGCGTTTGTGAAGCTATCGAAAAGGTTTTACGATAGCTTCTCTATTTTTGTTTGTGTCTCATGAGGACTTTCCACCAATTTTTAGTGGCAGAGAGGTTACCTACTCCAAAATGAAACCTGTACAGACCTTTTTTTTTGCAAATGTTCCTAGATTACTTTTTCAGTGTTCCCTCATATAAGAATGACTCCCGAACTTCTAAGTAACTCCTGGGGTAGTACTACATAATATGAGGCTAGACCGGTGTCCTATCTCTCGTTCGTTGTATTGAAACATGTTTTTCTGTCATGTGGCTCGCTTGTGCGGGAGATACCTTGAGAACTACTCATCCGGTTTCAGTTCCGCTTGGTGCGATACATCTTTAAATAACAGTTACAGGAGGCGAAACTATTATGCCCTACGGTAATACCCCGACAGATAACCCACCTAATATCGAGAGTAAATCGGGTGAAAATATGGAGTGGGCTAACTTTCAGTATACAATCGAGAGAAGGTTTAAAAAATTGCCATTTTTAGGTTGTGTCCCTTCCAAGCTTGTTATGGTGGCGAGAGGCAAAGAAGCAAAGATGACTGTACTTTCCAGTCAGCAACGTTTGCTTTAACCCGCCACAGCTAACTAGCCGCATTTACGCCGAGGCCATCATCAATCCCAACGCTGCGATCACTAAAAGTGGGCTATCTTTCGGTGTTTACAAAAAATAGAGCAAATCCAGTCAAAAATAGGAGCGGGTTATCTTTTGGAGTATTACGGCCGCGTAAAGTTCCGAAAGAATGCCCAGCCAAAAGCAAAAGCCACAGCAAAACTTTATCAAAAATTAATGCACCCTGGCACCGGCTACAAACCATGTGATGCTGGAACCGATACCCCAGATCGCGGTAGCCGCAAATTCGCGTTTCATCATACCATAAACGAGTGGGAATTCGCTACGAACTCCTGTGTCACGGCCGCGTGACGTCTTTGGTGCCGGGGACGCAGACGTCTTTCGTTGGAACGTGGCGGAATTTAAGTCGTTCCGTCACAGTCGACGAGCGCGTTGACCGTTTGCGAGCGGACTTGAACGAACGAATACAAGGGCGTCCTTTTGTCTCCCCGGCGGTGTACCCAGGCGGAACTGGAGTCAAATCTGCAGACGCTGCGTGAGCGCAACGAGGAGATGAAGGAGCTCGTCCGCAAGATGGAGAGCCAGGGGGCCGTCGACGTGGACGAGGCAGTGGTCACCACCGCTCCCCTCTACAAGCAGTGAGTGCGCTCCCCACCGTCGCTCCCCTAGAACGCACCCCAGGGAAATTCGGTGCCGTCCGGCGGTCCAAGTATCGAGGCACACGCTTGCGGTTCGGCGCGACAGAGCGCTTTGCGACTGCTCGCGACTTTTTACGAGGGAACTCGTTGGCCCGATCATTCGGAAAGGAAGGTTTCGCTGTACTGTACGGTAATACCTCGTTGATGCGTTTTTTGGGAGATTGGGGAGATGAAAAGTGCTATCCGGGAAAACTTAAGGAATTAAAACGCCATCTGGGGGGGCACTAGAGACGAGACACATAGTGGCTGTCGCGAAACAATTTATTTTACGTCAATGTTCGTAGATGCAAACTAAAATTTGCTCGAAAAAAAGTTAGTAAACGTTTGTAGCTGTAAACTGAAATAAACGTACCGTAAAAGATTGCGGGATCTCAAATACATCCCAAAAAGTTTGTGAACGTTTGTCAGTGTGAAGTCAAGTACATTTGGAAAGAGCTCGTAATTTCTACCCGGCAGTGGGTGAGCACGAAAAATCAATCACGCGAAACCGAATTTGAGCTATTGCATATTGACATACCCGTGCGATCTTGAAACTTCAAACACTTTTAACTCAGCTTCACTTTTTAGTGTCAAATCCCAGTTCAGGGAAGCTATAATTTCATAATTAAATTATATGTGTTGCTAGATTTGGGTTTTTTCTGTATTGAAATTTTGTGGGGAATGTTACTGTGAACCTCCTTTCAGCATTTTTATTTTCTTTTGTTGTGAAATGTTCATATATGATTCTTTATTCTAATGCACACCAGAAAAAAATGTTTTTCATTTTCTTTTATTAAAAATTGTATCATTTTTGTAATTTCTTTTTATAGTTGTCTGAAGCAAGTATTTTACTGTATGTTCCACCAAAAAAACTGGTCATTTTCATTACCATTTCTAAACATAGCTTTCCTCAGTGGATGCACTTTTTGTATGATGTATATTTACGTAACTCATCGTGGGATAAATTTATAAGGTTGAAAATTTGCATAGGATCCTTTCTCAATGCTATAAGTACACCCTGCAAATTTCATACGAATAGTAAGCAAACGGTTCAAAAGTTAGCCGTTCAGAGCAGTGTTCCCCCTTAAAAATGCATGCATTTCGGTGGGGACCACCTTGAACTTCGATATAAGTGATAAAATGAAAAAAAGTGATTTCGTTATAACAAAAGATTTCTGTATTTTGCTACTAAAGTTCTTTCCTCTCCTTAACCCCATACTGCAATGGCCTAAGCTTGGTACAGCCTTAGATGCTGATGTGTCATAAACCCCCGATAAATCAATCCATCAATCAGCAAGAAATTTCAATGGCTCACGTGAGAAATTATTGAGGCTGAGAACAATGGTTCTTGTGCACTGTTTGTTACAAGTACAACAATTTACGTTAAATCTATTACTTTTACTTGAAAATTCGTAATACAGGTCATTTTTGCTTTGCGAGGCCGCACAATCACTTCGTTAAACAGGAATACGTCGAAGTTGTCAGAGAAACACCTTGAACACATAGGGAATTGGCCAGGACTTTATTTTACTCTGTTAACGGGTGTTTTCGTTGTAGATGCGTTCGTTATAAAGGCGCTTGACTGTATGAGGTAAATCGATTCAGTTTTGCTGGGTTTACCTTGTGACTATATGCAAGCAAATTAGGAATGTTCAGAATAAATTTTTAAATGTCTAGAGGTCTTAAGATGTAGAATATCAGTGTGGAAATTCAATAACTTTTTCGCGAGGGGACAGCATTGCGGCGTTCCTTCTCCCCCAACCCTAGATAAACGAATGAAAGACCATCAAAATTGTTTTCTTTTGCAGGCTGGTGAATGCCTTTGCGGAGGAGAATGCGACAGAGGACGCCATCTATTACCTCGGGGAGGCACTGCGCAAGGGGGTCATTGACCTAGACGTTTTTCTAAAGGTGGGTGCGTCCATTTGCAGCGGAGAGGTGTACGTAAGGCCAGGGTGTCAGTCTTCTTATCCTTTGTCTTCCTCGTGCTCACAAACAGCATTTCATTCTTTTATTTGGAGGACGTACACGTTCCATAATCAGTGCAACACACTCGGAGATTGAGGCCTTTTCAGAAGTGTCTGCTCTCTAGCAACTGCTGGGCCAATTGTCCGAGCGAGCCACTTCGTACTCGAGCATACCTTGGACGCACTTTGTGCTCAAGAAATGGCGCCCGTAAATGTTGTTGGATGGGGTTTCGCAAAGGGTCTATCGTATATTTGATACTGTTTTTCAATATCCTTGAAAATCATATTTTAGATACTGGTGCAATATAGACTGTTGGCCGTCGGGTGAGGTGATTACGAAAAAACTAGAAAACATCCATGGAGTGACCCACAGGCCAAAAAAGATAGCGGGCAGGCAAGTTATTCGGGTTGTTTGTTCGACACCGAACGAAGCCACGTGTTGCAGGGTCAATGAAGGATGTGATTAACAGAGGATGTATGACACAGCCCATAGAGCACACCATGCCCCGTGCAAAAGGGGGTCGTGTATCACATTCCCCTCTTCTGCGGGAAGAGCTGCATAGGCCAAACTGGCCGACGTATAGAGGAAAGAGCAAGGGAGCATGCAGCGTCCGTAAAGGGTACATCAGCAGAACACTCGTCGGCTCAATGCCAGACCTGTTCTTGTGAGGTTTGTGGGTATGATGTTAGAAAGAAATGGCAGAAGACACGAGGATTCGTTACGGGATAATTCACATTGCATTGTCCCGGAAAGAGAATATTTACAAAACTATTTACATCACTTCAACAAGTAGACTTAATGTTTCGGGTGTCCCCTAAAATTTCCTTGTTCTCGACTTTTAAGTCCTGGTGGCGTAGCACTCGTGGCAGCCGATGATCAGGGGCTTACGGAGGTCAGGGCCAAGGGACGTAGTGATGAGGTAGTTGAGTGTTGGCCGAAAGCTTGAATCTCGCCCAGTACGTCTGTGACACGAAGCGGCAGCGAGTGTTCAACTGCGCCACGCACGCAGTCTCGTCTACCTCCGGAAGGTTGGTGCCCGGACTGCGTGAGAAGCGGGCTGTGGGTCGGGCCTCTTGACGTCTGGTCACGCCGACGGAGGTCCGGCCTGGTTGCGTCTGCTCCGAATCTTCCGCGCTGCCTCACGTGCCCCACCACATCTTCTTCCTTCTCCTCTTCGGCTTTTCGCGGGGTCACTCATCAGACCTGTGGATGTGATGCAGAGCTCTGCAGCGTAACGATCCTTCATAGGAACAAGAACTCCTTCGCACATGAAGTGCTGGAGGCCTTGGCCATTGAAGAAACGGGAGAAGATTGCGTGAGCACCGCATAGATTATGGTTCATGAAATATTTTCTGTTTGCCTCACCCCGTTGAGTGGTGGGCTAAAGGTTTTTGAATCGTGCCATAGGAGGAAAAAGGATGTGCCTAGGCTGGAAGGAGGATAAAGTAAAAGTCAGTTGTTAGTCAGCGGTGTGTTTGTCCAGTCCCTTTCTCTGTGTTCTCGTTTTTTTGTGTTCAGCTGACCTGATTGCCAACAGTATGCGCCAACTAGCTCGACTTAAACCCATAACGCAATATAGACCTTTTCACCCACCGTCGCATGGGCGCTGCCATCTAGGAATCATGCGTCGAGTGACACGGCCATTCTTTCCGTTTTGTGCAGCACGTGCGAGAGCTGTCCAGGAAGCAGTTCATGCTGCGTGCCCTGATGCAGAAGTGTCGGGAAAAGGCGGCGCTGCCGTAGCGTGGACGCCGTGCCGTCGAGCCAAACCCGCACCAGTCCCGATCTTTGGGAGCGCCCCGGCCACACTTCGAGGAACGCAACGCGTCTCCGAGCAAAGTTAACGATGGGACGGGGTTGCGTCCTAGTCCGTGCGGGACACCTTCGAGACGTCGATTTGTTAGCGTCAAAGTTGACGACCTGCGATTAGGGCTTTCTCGCAATCTCGGCAGAGCTCCCCCGTTGTATCGCCGCCCCTAGACGTGGACGTTTTGGGAAACAACTTTCGTTCTGCTTGCTTTCTAAAGCCGAAGGGCTGCCCCAAAATAGCGACCTACTTGGAGAGGTCTCGACGTTTCTCTGGCTTCATTTGGGGGACTGAATTGGAACAACTTTTTCGTTGAATGTTGTTTACTGCATTATCTTTGTAATGCGCGAGAATGCACAATTTAAGGGTGAAAAATGGTTGGCTAGAGTAACCTGTTCTTGTTTCGTCTTTATTTGCGAGGCTCTTAACTTGTGTCGAGATGTCGCCGTTGGATTCGACATGGTTGGTGAGAAATTGACGCCGCCTGCCCAAAATTGTTGAGGTACTGCGACCAATGTCCCTTCCTGTTTTCCGTGGCAATATCTAGAAAAACAAGGTGTTAACAAACGAGGAACTTGATACTAATTAATCCTTTTGAAATCGATAAACATACGGGGACTATCTTTTTCCCCCAAGATGATTCTGTAACAGCATCTGGGCCGAACCGTCATTTCTGTGGGGCTTTGTTGTTTCTGGCTCGTACAATTGATAATCGTGAAATATGCTGCCATTCAATAAACTGCGCACAAATCGTCTCCCGTCGGTCATTATTCTGTTGTCTTGGCTGCCTCTGTCTTGCAAGTCACATGCAATGCCGCAGAAACCAGACTTCCAACAATTCTGCTCGTGAATATGGAGTGGTCTGTTTGCTACCCACTTGTGGGCAAGTTCGGCTAATGTTGGTGTTCCATATGCACCATTAAACTTGCACGTGGCAATTGTCGAGCAATCATCTTTGTCAACAGTTGATTGCAGTGGGTAATTTGAGATGCTGAACGACATAGTGGTCGAAGGCCGTGTGAAACTATGCGCATAATAAACTGGTTTAGCTGGAGAAGGAATTTAAGGCAAAATTTAGAGAGAATCTTCGAGGTTAGCTTGCGGCTAAAGCTTCGCAGGAGATTCCTAATAATTTATCTTGCGATTGAGAGATCTCATCTGCGCAGGCTGTCTGCATCGAGCTTGTAGGAAACTGCTTTTGCAAAAGAGATGAGTGTGGTTCCCTGCTGGGATATCTCGGGGGACTGTTGTTTGAAAATACAAACCGGGTGAACCCCTGCGGGTTCATACGGTGGGATGCAGAAGCACTTGGCAACTCTGAAGCTTCCACCAATGGTGGAAGCTTTAACCCATTAAGCATTGTAAAGCCAGTCGTACGGTTGGACGGCTGTACTGAAAGTGGCTACCGGAGCAGGTGGCCAGATACCTCGATTTTGACGTGCCACTGGTTATGAATTGACCCTAAAATGATAATATGCTAGATTTATCTTAGTCCTACATGCTAATTCCTCAGGAGCACTAAGAACTGGCTCTACAATTGCTACGCATTTAAAACCAAACACATCTGTCTTGTCCTAGTTGGCCGTAGGTTGCCATCAATGCAGGCTAGACGGTGGCTTGGTGCTTTTTGTCATTAGTCTGGGTGCAGCCGGCCAGTGCAAACGGCTCTGGACTAACTCTCGCTGCTTCGGTGATTTCAAGCCGCTCGAAGTATGTCTGCCTCCGTGACGCCGAGAGTCTGTTTAGGACTCCGGAGCGCAAAGTCGAGGGTTCAATCCCTGAGCGGTCCATCTTCAACGAGTACCTGGGCTGTTGCTCAAAGCCGTAGTAAAACCCCAACATTTCCTTTTTTTTCTGCTCGAGGTGCTGCTGCAGTCCTTTGTCACACTTCACAGCTGGCACAATCCCCATAGTTCCAATTGGATGAACTGCAATGCCCTGCTGGAAATGGCAGGACTGTTCCAATTGAAATGCATAGCCAAAGCCTATGAGCATGAATGTGCAATTGGCGCCGATGAGAAAATCCGATGTTTTGCACATTGGTGCAACTGGAAATGCTGCAGAGAAGCCGCAGCACGGGGGAAGGCCAAAGAATCGGTTGAGGGAAAGTCAACTTTAGGGGGCAAGCGCCATGATGCCAATTGTGTCAATGTGCACGACACTCAGTTTGCTCATTACCGCTCATTGCAGCCAGTGGCGCTATGTGGCAGAGCCATTGTACGGGAGATAGCAAGGAGCCATGCACTGCAGAGAAGTGAACTCGGTGCAGTATGGCAGTGACAATGCTCAATCGCCAAATTAGCACACCCTTGCAAACATTTTCTAGAGGACCGATAGAGATTTTTTTGCGATCAATAGGATTTCATCGTACCGATGGGCATTTCTACTGGGCCGAGAACAAGTTATATCGTACCAATACAGACTTCTCTTGTACCATTAGGAACTTCTGTGGGACAAGCAGGAACTTCTATGGGACAAGATAGAAACTTCTATGGGAACAACACGAATGTTTTCTGGTCCGGAATACAAGTGCCTATTGGTCCTTCAATAGGATCAATAACAAGTTGTACTGGTTAAACTGAAAGCTTCATTGGTGAAATGGAATGCATTTCGGATCGAGAACTTTTAATGGTCGACTAAGAATACAGAACATAAAATCTATTAAGTAGGCATCTATCAGGTTAAACAGTATGCTTAGTGGAGAAATTAGAGTTGTTATATACTAAAGTTTTATGTTTTGAGCACAGGAAAATAATTTTTGCCGCAAATATACCCGATGGCAGGCAGGCAGCCAGGATTTTGATTCGCCCATGACAAAATACTGTATGAGGGGAGGGGGGAAAGGAGGCCCCACCAAATGAAAGGTTTGGGAGGAGGGGGGGGGGTCCCATAGTTCCCCCCCCCCCCCCCCCCCCCCCCCCCCCGTGCAGATACGTGCGTGCCCGATGGGTTCCTCTCTGTCAAATAAACATTTTTTTTTAGCTATATAACTTGGGTTGGGCCATGTAGACACTAATTAAAATAAACATTCAATTAATAAAGTGAATATGAACTCTTTTTTGTCACGTGTTTTAGAATTTCCTGGTTACGTACTGTCCTCCTTCGTATTATAAAACATGCGGCTGCCAGTAAAACATAGAGAAAAGACTATGGGGAACGGGAACATTGTGTGTGCACATAGTATGCACAAGATTCATGAATAATTATATATAGGCAAGCCACGAAATTCAGGTATGATCGGAACTCTGCAGTTTTAGCGGTGTATTCTGTCCTCTTGTTTTCCAGGATGTCTCAGTAACAGTAATAGCGTAAACGATTGCACCAACTGGATTATGTATTCACATTAGACTTTGCTCCGTTTTATTCAGTTTTACCTGGTTTCGGAGTGGAACGTTCTCGTTTTTGTATAAATTTCGCTCCAGAACCGAGCAAATCAGAGTAAAACCGGGGTCAAAAACAGAATAGCACTGACTCAAAAATCCTATTATCATCTTTCACGATTGGTCCAAAGCTCTCCGACTTCCGACGTCGGGACTTTAAAACTTTGGCGGAGTTGGCAAAAAAATGCGATACTTCAGGCTTCCATTTTGACATGTGAACGTATCCTGTTTGAGCAGAGGCTACGCGCTCGTTCTGGGGCGGCAGATCACATGCACATTCTATCGTGGGCATGCTTTTTATTAACAGAAAAGAAAAGCCGGTAGTGCCGAATAACATCCAATAATTATTAACACCATAGAAGTCATTAAAAAAAAAAGCACATAAAATGCGCGCACACACACACACACACGAAATAAGGATGACCTTCCCGAAATTATGATTGCACCCTGTTTCACGCACAGTAAGTGTCAGGCAGCGCTTTCCACTTTGTAGTTGAGCAAGGAAGTTCCTTTTTGAAAGGCATTTTACGCGCTTGTTGGCAGTTTGGGCCTTTAGTTTGGCTTCTGGCTTCCCAATGTTGTAGTTTTCCTTGATGCCGGAAGAGTGTACACTCCAGCAATGAAGTTTTCGAGATTCAAAAGCCCTTCATCTTGCGTCCAATCAAAATGAAGGCCAGCCGAAACAGGGTACGTCAGACTCGTTACATTCGTCTTTGGCAGTAGCCTTTTCGGAAACTTGGACAGGAAATTGGTCTTCAAATCTCCCGTCACTTTCACAATTTTATCACTTGTGTCTTCACTAACTGGCCCAGTACTGTGACCGCTTCTGGTTTCATTGGTACTACTTAGTTCACGGGGAGTTTTTGTCTCACCGTGTTCCCAGACAACCGAGCTTACAGAAACTGCTGTCGGCGACGTCGGTTCTGGTCCCTGGCCTGTTGTAGCATTTTTCAGGACACAACTTCGTCTCAGGACTGTTGTCCTTGGCAAGCTGGGTATACTTAGTGGCTCCAAGTATATTTTTTTGTTTGGGTTCATGGTCGCACAGCGCGACACCCTACGTGTCTCAAATCCAAATTTTAAAATTCGCACCGATGTCGTCCCGCAGCAAATGCAATTTTCTAATTAAAATGACAAATAAAAATGACTCCGTTATAAGTTTAATATATATTCAGTATTTACATTTGACAATTAAGTAATACCATAATTTTTAGAAACGTTTATTATTTTCTTAAGTGCATCAGTCACACTTGCGGGCTTGCGGGTTACACCACGTGACAATATAGAGTGAGCTGGAGTCAATAGAGTGAACAGTGGGGTCACCCGCATGCATAGAGATCATACATCCCGCATGACATATAAAATCAAAATAAGTTTTCAAAGTGCAATTTATGCAAATTTTTTGCTAAATTAAGGTTAATAAGTAAATTTTTTAAGTATTCGTTTACTTCAGCGAACAAAAACAAGAGTTAAAATACAAAGTATTATAGTCACGTGATACATCCCCTGCGTCAGGAAGTGGTCCGACGTGATAAACCGAACGGTCCGGCCGGAGGACAAGGAAGCGTGGAAGAAGAACCGAAGCCATAGAGTAATATACACAAGGTAAAGAGCGGACACTACCATAGGCCCCAGCGGCCCAGATAGACCAGTGACAGGTAGCGCTCCTAGCGGGCGGTATTAAGTATAATCTGATTCCGTTTCCGGTCAAGTTAGTTTCGGTTTCGGTTTGGGCGTTTTTGCTCCGGTTCTCCAATACCCTTCTCTCTCTCTTTCCTCCCCGCCTCGCTCATCTCTCGGGAGCACCTTCACTCCCGAAGCCGCTGTTTTTTTCTTTTTTTTTTTTTAATACTGACACACTTTTGCTTTATTTTTTACGATAGGGTCCGTGCAAAGTGTGTCAAACAATATTTCAACTTACTTCACAAAGCAGAAGTATATATATTTCTTGTTCTTTTTATATTGTAAAGCATTGAAGTTACACAATCACCGCATTGACTCCTGGCTGGTAGAGCATTTTGGGGTCAACAACAGTAAGTGGTTCGAACACATTTTATTGGACCACATTCATGTACACATGATTTACTTCAGAAGCTCTGTATGTTTTATACGAAAGGGATCGATACTCACAAAATTAAATGAATATGAAGGACTTCGGCATTCGTACACTTCGTAATAGATTCTTAGCGGAACCAAGTTAACAAAACCCTTCCACGGAGAACATGCTGTATGATACATTCACTTTCACGCCGACTCGGGTACGGGAAGTAAGTGAAAAAATAAATGAAACATCGCTATCACTACCAGTCATAAGAGTATAATAAGAGTGCAATGCACACGCCGGATAGTACAAATTCCCGATTTCCGGCAAATATAAAAAAACACCAATTTGCATAGCCTCAAACTCACTGCGGGCGAGCCATTACCAAACAATGAGAACTCTATTCGAAATCAGACAAGATTCAACGTCCCTAAATATTCCCCGAAATTGTTCAGAAAAGAAATATGTCTTCAGAAAAAAGCGGCTAAAAAACTATGGACAGTGGATACAAAAGTGGATACATTTTCTTTCAGATAGTGTTAGCCTCTATACACTATTTTCTATCGAATTGTTTTAGAAAGTGGACAAATATTTTTGTTAGGGAGCCGTGATACACATTCGCTGGAAAAAGGGGAAACAAATATTTGGAGAGCAAGCTGCACCGCCCACTTAATCACTTTTTGTTTTTGGTTTGGCAACCGCCTCTGTTAATACGCTATTAACAGTTAAACCTGTCTCGTTCTTTCTAGCCACTGAAGAGTGCAACCGAACTTTGTCCGAATTCCAGTTAACAAAATCAAACATGTCAACACAAGCGTATTCTGCAAAACAATTTTAAAAACCCTTTGTGGTACTCCTCTGGGCAAAGGTGAAAACCACCCAGACCTCAAAGTGTGCTATACAAGGCGGCACACACTCCTCGAACATGTGTCACACTCTCTATTATGGGAAGAAAGTGATTTTCTAGTTGCTGAATGAAATGGAAGGTAGCCTGTGATGGTACTACTAAGTTCCCGAAGAATTTTCCAGGCACGTGGTATGCTTTAGGAACAAGACAGTACTGGTGAGGCCTGGTCAAGTTATTAGACTCATCCGATAGCAGCTGTAAGTTGTCTGTTCAAGCAAAAGCTTGATCAAATAGCCCCAAACGTAATAAACACGTGTATGAGTCATCAATTATGTTAGACCTGATGTCTGATGCCAGCTCAGAAATATCCTCTAGTGGCGAGAAGTTATCAATTGGAAGACATTCCATAACGTCTGAAATTAAACTTTCATGGTGCGAAGATATTTGTAACTCCTTTAGGAGGTCAGCCTTGTCGTCTTCTACGTTTTCATTGTCCGACAGTTTGAACAGTTTCTTTATTCAGAGGTGTTTTAGTCCTGAGGTGAACTGATGCACATTTTGGGTTTGTGTTGCAGCCCAGCATTTGTCGTATATAGCTCCAAAAATGTTCTCAAGTGTGTCTTGCTGCAGGCGTCGTGTAAGTAAGATCTTAAAGTCATGGCTGCTTGAAAGTTCATCCCAGAGCATGAGGACACTTTTTATAGTAACTTGCCACCCAATGATGGCTTATGGCTGCCTCCTACTTTGGAACTGCCATGCTGAAATCCATCCGAGTTACTGGTGGAGAAAATCAAGTATTTGAGATTCTCCCTTCAGAATGGCATGACGCAACTTCTGCCCTGTCTTCTTGAATTTTTTAGCTATTTAGACAATCAAAAAGTATGCACATCCTATCACAGAAATAGGCTGTAGCCATGGCTGCCTCAGGAAGTTCCTTTGCATAAACAAGAGATATGATTACAAGAAAGATTGAGGCACTCAGTACCTGTGGGGCACAATTTTCTTCCATGTTACAGAAAGGTTTTTGAATAAATGTGTCTCTCAGTAAGTTTCAGAGTCAATTGCAAGCTAATCTCATGGATAGAACAATGAAGTTCAACAATAGAAGACCGCTCAATGACCTCATTTCCAATGCAAAGTTTGTGGGCTTGGAGATTGCTATTGGTTGTTTTGGGAAGGTGCGGAACATCAAAGACAAAGTAAACGTGTTCGTTGTCAACTTCAAAAAATGGCTTATCACCACACACACCAAGCTTACGTTTGAAGCCCCCTAACCACAGACCCCAACCTTTACTGTGAAGCCAACAGTCTTAAAGGGGCGATGCACTGATATTTGTATTTTGCGCAAATACCGCTTAGAACGAATCCCTGAAGTTAATGATCCCTAAAATATACCCGTTCGTTTTCACCACACGCAGTCGAAGTCGCAGAAAAAAATAAAGAAAAACGAGCAGAGTTCACCCCCTCAACTCGCAGCCAGAACAAGTGGCCCCGTGATCTGGAGCCGATTATATGCCGCCAATGTTGATCATAGTCATGCGCTGGGGTTGGCAAGGCACAGGACACGCGCTGAGTTCCAGACATTGTTATGGTTCGGCTGCTTTCGTCATTGCAGCGATTTGACACAGGACACTACCCGAATGTTTCTCGAGCTATCGATTATCACGAGCCCAAATCGAGAGTCCACGCCATGCTCGGGTCCAATCTATGAGCCGTATTCAAATATCGTCACTGGGCGGTACTGCTACCGTCCAGCTATGTCATCAGGTTTTTCGAAGGAGAGATCGAATAAAAACACTGGGCTTTGTTCTCGAAATTACAGCGCAACAGAGGAGTTTCTTGGTCAGTGGCGTTGCGTGCGAGTATCCTTGAGTCCCACTAGTGCCATTAAGCTCGTGTAAAGTGAAAAACATTCCAATTGAATATCATTGCACCGCCCCTTTAAACTCCCGAATGAGAGAAATGAGGAGACTGCATTAAACAGAAGACGTTGTTGGAGTCTGCACAACAGTGTGTGCAAACGCACCTCCTGGAAATTTCAGACAGCATAACAACCAAGGCTCTATCTGCAATGTTAGAGGTTCGTTCAACACCGTCATATGTGATCCCATGGACAATGTCGTGCGCAAGGTCGTAAGTTAAATTCTTTTTTTAAAACAATCTCATCGAAAATCAACATGCACACACGTTCAAGTGCAGCCAGACAGCCCGGCAGAAACAACAGCGCGAGAAGCTCGAACCGATCGGCTCCACGAATTCACGCCGAGCATGCGAGCACGCGGGCGGTCATGCGTCACCTTGATTGATGCAAAGTCGACCGAACATGATGCAGCAGAAAGCACAGATGGACGGCACGCACGGCAGAGACGAACGACGCAGGGACGAGCAGAGGCCATGCGGAATGATGCAGAGGCGACGGCGTGCAGACAGGCAGGCCATGGCAGGCGCCATTCATCACGTGGTTTTTGTGACGCATTTGATTTAATCTATTTAGTCGTTTTAAGTACTTTAAACAATTTTAAAGCATTGCCATTTAAAAAATAAATACTTTTCACACAAAGAGTTCTAATTAATTTTAACCAAATTGTAGAAAAGCGCCACGTAGCGGAGGGTATGAAACGCACTATCTGGGCCGCGAATCGGCTCCTGTGTCCTCTCTTTACGTTTACTATATTACTCTATGCCGAAGCTGCCGAAGCTACGTTCGCGGGAAGTCTAACCGCTTGAAGCACGTTGCAGAGTCGAGACCAGTTGAGCGGCCGGAATTTTACGAACGATTATGCAAGCGTACGTCTTGAGGACGACCATGAGCCACATATCATCTCAAATTTCTCCCCGTCAAGCCTTGTGACGAAACGGAATCGGACTTCTTCAAGGCGAGGATCCTAAAGTTGTTTGGTAAGTCCTAGTCTCCACACGCGTTGTGCCCAGTCTAGTGACCATCTCCTTTAAGTTAAAAATTGCAGCTTTAAGCACAATATGTGGGAGTAACTCTCGGCGCCGGTTGTTTCAGGATCGCAGAGTGACGCGGAAACCCAGTGACAGTAAGCGGGTGCTAGTACCTCCGACGAGATGAGTGACTGCCCGGGAGGGCTGGAGGAAGCTTTTATGAGACAGGTAATTGTAATTTCATTTTCGCGCTTGCGAAGCAATTCATAAGACGTATTTTAAATTTGAGATTTTCTTTAGTTATGCCGCCACAAGTACAAGGAATTTCATTGATAGGGGTGCCGTGTGTTTGTTTTCATATGCCCAGAAACTAGGTAATGAGGAGTTTCAGCGACGGTGTCACCGCCCTGGCGGCCGATCGCCGAAAGAGAACGAGGGGGATAGGTTCGCTGGGCGTTGGCTTTGTGTATATGCGTTGGCCGCGAACGTAGGCTTATAAACTTCAGCAGCAAGAATATTACGCGGCTCTAGTGTTTCGGTACGAGCAACAGAGGTGACACGATCTGCTACGACTAGCTACGACCACCCGCCGCAGCGATGCAGGCGTCGAAGGAGCGCAACCTGTGTACTACGCAGTCAGTCGCCGTCGCCGGTCGTTTGGCATTCAGGGCTTCCCGCCCCGGGTTCTGCGCTTGTACTTGGAACCGAGTATTATTTCCTGTGCTTGTGTAGGTGCTCAGTGGCTGGATATGGAGCTCATAGAGCAGTTCTTCAGACACAACAGCGACTCAAAGTTGACGGCGGAGGGCCTTGCAGCAACGCTTTCGGTTGGTGCACGGGTGTGACGACTACACGGATAAATTTTAAGATTGCAGCTAGCAAGGTGGGCCATAGTCGCTTTATGTTGACACGATTTTGAGTGTAAGTGCTCCGTGCAAAGGCGAATCTATCGCGTTTCTAATCCACCTTTGTTTTTGCTGTTTTTAGTACGCACGACCGATTGCTGCAAATGCTTCTGTACCGATCACGGAGTGAATGTCTTCGGCCTTGCATTGCGGAACGCCCAATAAAAAGTCATATTCATTCAGCGAGAAAACTTCCTTTTCGAGTGACCTTCTGATCAATAATTTCTCCCGTACTTAAGTGCTTTAATCAACACGGTCGATTAAGTTTGCTTCCCTAGTTAGGACATTTTTATGCCACATGCGGCACTAATGCTTGGCACGATCGATGTATGCCACTGGTGGTATTTTAAATTGGTTTACTTCCAAAGCTAACAGTGTGACAGGTGGGACCATTCAATTTGCTAAAAATGTGGCGATATGGGAATTTCGTTGCATAACTAACGTTTTACGTTTAAGATTGATAAGAAACATGCTCATGTGATGATGCATGTCTACAGCATAAGCTTTGCAGATCCAGAATGAATGTGCTGTAGGCTACAGCCTCAAGATTTTTAATGGACCAAATTGGTGATTACACGGCAATAAATATTGTGGTGAAAAACTGCCCATTGACTCGGTAAGTTTTGATCGTGACCATGGTGTGCTGTTGGCAAATTAGGTAATGGCACACCTTTTCCCTGACCATCTGGCTTCAAGGGACATTGCATCTAGATGTGCTTAAATATCTTTATTTCAAGGTTCAGTGGACCCCTCTGCATCATTACAAGAAGGCAGTCTAAAGCCACAACAAACAGCAGCAGTGAATATACACTGCATAATAACAGGCACCAGTGTCCAGGCGTATAGTCCGCAGAAGCCAATTTGAGCATAAAAATGTTTTTGTTTTGTTTAGATAGTTTGCATTTGGTGTATAATCCGCAGGGCCCGATTTCCGCGCCCAGTGCATAGTCCGCCAAGCTGGTGTGTTGCGTCTTCGGCGAACGCCATTGGGCCTGAAGAACTGCTCTTGAGGCCCATATCTAGCCACTGAGCACACACAAGCACAAGCCGTGAATGCCAAACGAGCAGCGTCAGGTGACAGCGACTGGCTGCGTTGCGCCCCTTCGACGCCTGCATCGCTGCGGTGGGTGGTCGTAGCTAGTCGTAGCGAGATGATCTTCACTTCGAGCAAGAAATCTTGCCGTACCATAGTCAAGATATGTGTGCAAGTGTTCAACGACGTGGGCTCTCTCACGTTGGTGCAGTTATCAAGAAAGGCACATATCAACAATGTTGCGTGTTTGAGGCTGAAACTATGACGCATACTTATCTAAACCTAAATTTATCGGTCTGCGGCTACAAACATTTTCGTTGACGTTGCTTAGATGATGTAACCGTTCAGGCCTCGCATTAAATGGTGTTGCAAACTTCGGTTGTGTATGAAAACCTATTTTTGCCCTAATAAAAGACATTTTCAAAAGGACATGTGTCTTCTGCTGATACACATCTTCCAATTTACAATGCAGAGGCAAACAGAAAATCAACTGCATACATCTACCACTTAACATAAGCACCTTTAACATTCATTCTTGAGCACACTCAAATATCAGCTTGGTTTGCTCTTGTATTAGAAGCTTTGCCCTGTTCTGTAAAAAGAAAACACTTAGAAAAGCTTTACCTTCGTTTTCCTTCTCGCATTTAATAGACTTGTTTGTCAGCAGACATCACCGTGGCACAAACAACTCGAATGAGCGATGAGACTATTGCTATTACAATAAAGCTTTCCACAAGAGCCAAAACGAGGCTTGTAGGGGTGCACAAGCACATCGAAATGAGATTGGCGCTTCCGGGGCTTGTTTACATTATGCGTAAAAACGGGACGATCGGCGACCAGCTGATCGCAATATAACACCAAGGATACCGATGTTTCGATACATAAAACGCAGGATAAAGACCTCAATCGTCCCTTGTATGCTGCAGTTGTCATACTTTCCGTCCAACCGCTTTTTAGCGCAATTAACTAGAACAACCGAAGAGTTCCCAACACCTTTTAATGCGAGGCCTGATCGAATGGTTACATCATCTACTCAACGTCAACGAAAATGTTTGTAGCCGCAGACCGATAAGTTTAGTCTAAGATAAAGTACACGTCATAGTTTCAACGCGCGAACATTGTTGATATGTACCTTTCTTTGGACCCACGTACATTCGGTTCAACTTGATGACAGCTGCACCGGCTGCACCAGCGTGAGAGCTCACGTCGAACACTTGCACACATATCTTGATTATGGCAAGATTTCTTGCCTTCGACTGGCTTGAACACTTCATTTGTAGCATCACGGTAGGTCTTGGTTGAAGCGATGATCGTCTCGCACACGGCAACAAACAGAGAACGACACGCTTTGTTTAATTTATACGCTGCCGGTCTACGGGCGTCGCAAACCTATCCCCCTCTTGTCCGCCATGTTGGATCGATCGGAGCGCCCCCTATATTCGCTGAAACTCCTCAAAAGGTTATGTGTTTTAACATTTTTTCTGTGCTGATAGGCTTAAGGTTAGAATGAATTATATCTGTCAAGGCGTGGCGCAGTCTGTGTCTATTTGGAGAAGAGGTATGTGTGTGCGTGCGTGCGTGCGTGCGTGCGTGTTCGCTTGTTTGTTAGTTCGTTGGGGGAGAGAGAGGAGATGAAGAGGAGGAGGGTGAGGGATCACGTCGAATCATTCAAATCGTTAACTCTGACAGTTATGAGGTAAGAAGGATACCTGCTAGTTACACCGGTTCGGTTTTGTGCCAAACTCAAATTGTGTTTTGCCGCGTAAATATTGCTACAATTTTTTTTTTCATCAACAAAATTAATTTTGAGGCATGCCGTTGACAAATAGGACCCCTGTTTTCAATCCCAGTCCGGGTTATTCGCGACTCCAGCGAACTATAGATGGCGCGCTGCTCAGGCAAAATTCGGACGAAAGAAGGTCGTTTTCGTTGTTCAGCATGCGGACCATCACAAATTCCTGCACTGCAGCGTAAAATCGGTGTTACATTTGAATGCAAAGCGATTTTTCGACCCTAGAAACGTTCGTCTACTCAGTGCGTAGGAAGGACCCGGTGGAATCATTAAAATAATTACTGGAAACAATGTTTGTTTCTATGCTGCCTACGAGAACCAAACAGCGATAGCAGATGACAGAGTCGGGAAAACCTCCTCTCCTGAGCTTCTCGGCGCTGCCGCTACGCGGCGTCGATTTCGCTGGAGTCACGAATATTGCGCTGGTAAATTTCCTGTACATAGTGCTGCTTCAAAGATGAACTGAAGTTTATGTCTTCTATGTGTGCATTGGCAATGGCATGTGGCTCAACAAGACTTCACACACGAAAGTTCTCAAATAGAAGAGGGAATCAATGTTCATCCGGTAAGGTTTGGTAATTATCTCCGCCACAGATGGCCTCCTTGGCGGATTGTGACCGGCAGACCTTCAAACCGCACAAAGGCTAAGCAAAGCCACAACTGGATGCAGCAAGACTAAAAGCTTTATAATATACTGTAAGGACTATGGCTTTATAATAAGCCTTTTATAGCAAAACATACTGATCTGAAAAGCGTTGTTTGTGGTTATTTTAAAGTGGTATACGGAAACTTCGTCGTATTGTATTAATTCTGGTTCACTGCACAGTTAAAAGGTTTGTCTTCGTTTGCTGCCAGAGAAATATAGCTTGCGATGAACTAAATCAAAGTTATGACTGCTGGTGTGGTGTACATATTCAGAACTTTTTTTTATTAAAATAATTGTAATCAAGTGTTTTTATGGGTTTTAGCACTGTGATTAAGATACGTCAATGTGTTTTCTAAGAAAGACTACTAATTTGCAGTTTGTATCTTCTCCTAAAATATTTTGTAGATCTGAGCATGTATTCATACCTGAATATGTGCCAGGCATTCCCCAGTATGTGTATAATTGTTTACTAGGCCTGTAAGCTTCCCCACTACATCATTGCCGCTATGTTAGCGCTTCCCAGCTATTATTCGAGAGAGATAAGTGTTTCTCATGATCAATTAGGTTGAGATTGTTTAGCGTTAATGTTTTTGAGTCCCCCATTTTTAATTCCTGACAGAGCGCTTCAATGTCCGTTTATTTTTGGTTTGCCGCTATTTATCACCACAAGCAAAAACATCACGCCACTGGGATTAACCTGAAGCTCACCTCATGATTAACGACGCTGCCGTCCACTGTCTTAAGGTGGGCCTACGTTCATGGGTACTTGTCTAGTGGTTCTGGAGTTGATGTTGCTGAGATAACCGAGACGCCGATTTCTACGATGGCCTCTGTCAGCATCATGGTCAATTACAGCTGGCCCGAGCCCGAACCAGGCCAATCAATGTGCTGGCCCGAACCAGGCCAATCAACGTGCTGGCCCAAGCCCGGCCCGGGCCCACAGTCAAAAGTCCGAGCCCATCCCAGGCCTGGGCTTTCGGGTAAGCCCAAGCCCGTGCCCAGTGGTATAATCTTTAATCCAATCGCCATATTGAGATAAAGACGTCAAAATTCCTCAGTTTAAATGTCGGAAGTGCCTCAATAAGAGCAGGTATAAATATTAGTAGCAAATTTAATGATAAATAAACTGCGCCGACTTTACTCAACAAGACTAACAATTTAATCAAGCGTTTCGTCTCCCATGCGGGGAACATCATCAGTGAAACCTTCAAGCAGGAATGAGCGAAAAAACTTCAACAATCTTATTTAAGCAAGTCCGCATAAACATCGGAGGAGGGGGCCGCGGTTGGAGTTGCAAGCGGATGAGTCACTTTAGATGAACCATGATTCCACCAACCTTCGTGGACCCCACCTTTGTTCACACGCCAGAGTGGACGCATTCTCAAAGTCGAAACTGTGACCTGTATTCCAACAATGGTCTACGAGTTCCGTCTTCGCTGTGTTTGTTTAGGCGAGTGCAGCGCTTCCAGCCTGTCTCCCCAATGTAGGATGTGTCACAATCTAGACAGTTCACTTTATACACAACACCGCACTGGGACTCTGGGGGGGGTGTAATCTTTAGGTTTAGAAATGAAGTCACATAGTTTATGGTGGGGTTTGAAAGCTGTGCGGATATTCAAAGGGGCGAGGGCCCTGCGAATGGACTCAAAAGCACCTCTCAAATAGGGTATTGTTGCTTGCCCTGTCCTAAGTTGTCCATTATCCCGACTTCTTTGTCCCATCTGTTTGTGCGTGTTATCAATAAAACGTTTCGGATAATTCCGCTTCATCAGCAGGTCAACAATAACAGCATCCTCAGAAGCACGCAAGCCGATTCGGTGGCTCCGAGGCGAGAGCGCTGGCCTACGGATCCCCATGTGGCGGAGGCTTATTGCGGAGCAGGCGCTGTGTAACCGAGCTTTCGGTTGCACGTCAAAAGATCCACAGGTAGTCTAAATTAATCCTCAGTCCTCCGCTGGGGCGTGCCAGATGCCTGTCGTTGGTTTAGCACGTAAATCCCCCAAACTTGACTTTTTTCTCAGAAGCGCGCAATTGAGGATTAGAAGAAATGCGTTCGGACCGGTGTAGTAGGTTTTTTACGACAGCCCTTTTATGTTCGACAGAATGATGCGAGTTATAGCTTAAGAGGTTGCCTGTATCACAGCTTTGCGGTACACTGTTGTATATAAGCGACCGGTACTATTTCGGAACACATTAACATACAGAAAAGGCTTTGCACCGTTCTGTTCAACTTCATGCGTGAATTGGATTGATGATTCAATGCTGTTTAAAGTTAAATGAAATCGTAAAAGGGACATGGCAAAGGTCACGCATGCGACAAGAGCGAAGACGGAACTCGTAGACCATTGTTGGAATACGGGACACAGTTTCGACTTTGAGAATGCGTCCACTCTGGCGCGTGAACAAAGGTGGGGTCCAAGCAGGTTCGTAGAATCATGGTTCATCCGAAATGACTCATCAGCTTGTAACTCCAACTGCGGCCCCCTCCTCAATGTGTGTGCGGACTTGCTTAAATAGGACTGTTGAAGTTTCTTTCGCTCATTCCTGCTTCAAGGTTTCACCGACGATGTTCCCCACATGGGAGACGAAACGTTTGATTAAATTGTTAATCTTGTTGAGTAAAGTCGGTGCAGTTTTTTTTATCATTATGATTCCCGGCTTTTGGAATATTTTTGCAGCACATTTAATGAAGAAATGGATGCCGATAAACACCTGCCAAGGTTGACTAAAAATAAACAGAAACATCCAATCAATAGTTATGATTGCACTAAGCGGTTGCTATGTGGATGTTTTTTTATGTTTGACAGCTCAGCAAAGTCTGCGGATCTGGTTATGCTTCCTGTACGAGACAGATCACGAAGCGGTTGCTGACTGACCAGTTGGGGCGAAAATTTTTGTGGGAAGGACGTAAGAGAAAGTTGACATTCAGGAACCTTCACCTTGCTGAGTGCATCATAAGTAAGTAATCTCTGGAACAGTAGTGCAGATCGCTTCACATGGAACCAGATTTATGGAATTGTTGGTGTCATACTTCTGTTGCTTTCTTTTATCAGATGCAGTGCAGAGCTGCCATAAATGTGAAGACTTAAAGGTAGAAACCATGGTCACGGATTAACTTCGCCATGCACCTGCCTGACATCAGTCATCTCAAATGGTAAGCTGGTCTTATTAAGCTGATGTTAGCACAAAAATCAAACTTTTCTAGAACAGTAAGTATGGTGTGCAATTTCTTCAAAGCATAATTTCTATATAAGAGTATTTGAATGCTTTAAATATTAAAGCCAGTGACACCTTTTTTGGTTTAATTTGAGAGCAAATACTACAGGTGTGAACAGTATTGAATAATTTTAAATAAAAAAAAATTTTGTTTGGAGTGTTTTTCTAAGAGGAAAAATTTCATTATGTAATAGTACCTTATTATGGATTAAAAAGAATGCATAGACAACGAATTTTAAGAACACTGATATTTGATGTAAATCTAACAAAAGTTGGCAATACAGTACACACATCCAGCATGAATGTGCTTTAAAAACAAGGCATAAAATACTTGTGATTTATTTACATCAGTTCCAATTCTTGCATATTTGAGTCACTTCACTTTGAACTTCACTGTTTTATTAGTTTTGTTTCAAAGAATGGTAAACCACTGCTCACATATCTTTAACGTAACATTTTTTCGTTGCTTTTCAGGAACATTCTGCACCACAGGAGAGAGAGATGTGAACTGCCTTAAGTGGGCCTTGAATGCGCTGAGCTTTTTATTATGTTTATCAGACATTTTTTTTAAGCAAAGTATCCTGCATTGTTCAGTAAGTATACTTTATTTTGAAAACCTCATGCTGTCTATGCAGCATTGTTCAAAAATTATACTTTATTTTAAAAGCATCAAGCACTGCTCGTCTGCCTAACAGTAACAATAAAGAGTTAATGGCGATTTGTTTGGCACTGCAACTTTTTCTATAGAACGGATGTGCATGCCTGACAGGCTGGGCAGGAATTTAGTGCGCTACTCACGTTCAAAGTTACGCTGCAAGACTGCAGCGGCATCTTTTGCCATGCAGTCGGTGCTACAGCTCTCATGGAATTCTGGTGTCCTCGTCACTAAAGCATATGACTACTGAAGCCTTAGACTTCAGTAGTCAATTCCTCAGGGCCGTTCGTCATAGCTTATGACAATGTTTGTGTCCAGTATTTCAGTTCTCTCGCATGTGGCGAGGTCCACCTCACTAAAACGAGTCAGCATCAGTAGTGTCGCCTTCCTTGTCAGTGTCGTCTGCATTGATCCTGTGGTAAAGCTTCTGAGCTTGATGGTGAAAAAAAAAACTTCAATATAAAGAATGTCTGCTGCGGGCCTGATTGCTACATTATACATCTGTAATGCGCCATTTGGGTATACATTGAGAGCATGCACGGGCCATACAGCAAATCTGCCCTCTGAGCTCTTGTTTTGTAAAGAATTGGACTCTTATCCGTTTAAATTTTTCTGTAGGACAGTTTACACGCTATATGCTAGCATAAAATGAAGGCTGCTTAGGCACTTCCTTGCCCTCCTGGCATAGGGCTGGTCCCTATACCAGGAAAGGTAATATTTCTGAGGTATGTACATGGATCAGGCTGAACATCCTACAATGGTCCTGAATGTCCAGCTGCATCAACCAGATTGCGTTAGTGGTATGTTTTCTGGGGAACCATTTTGCACTGCACAGTAGATACTTCTCAATGTTGGATGAATCGTAGCAGATATCCACTGGATATGTTAAATGTCCGAACAACACATCTCTCGGATGTTTAATAGACGGTTGCTGGTTGACTGGGTACCATCAAACCAATGTGCACCGGGGCACCTGTTGTCAATTACCGCTCATTGGTTTTCGCCCCCTAAACGCCATCAACCCAATGTGCACAGGGGTGCCTGTCGTCAATTGCCGCTTATTGGTTTTCGCCCCATAAATACCATCAATCCAATGTGCACGGGGGGCCTATTGCCAATAGCCGCTCATTAGTTTTTGCCCCATAAATACCATCAACCCAATGTGCACAGGAGCACCTGTTGCCAGTTGCTGCTCATTGGTTTTTGCCCCATAAATACCCTCAATGCAATGTGCACTGGGGTACCTGTTGCCAATTGCTGCTCATTGGTTTTTGTTTCATAAATGCAATCAGCCCAATGTGAATTCCCTAAAGGATTACCAATTTAGCCCAATGTGAATTCCCTAAAGGATTACCAATTGGTGCACATAGGTTTTTGTTTCATAAATGCATATTGCTCAATGTGTCTGGACCTACAGTTGCACATTGGTTCAATGTGAATTGGGGCCTCATTTCACATCGCCCATTTCCAGCAGGGTGTGGTTTTCTCCTTTCCCCTTCCAAGTTAAGCCTTCTAGGGAAGCTTGTCCCTGGCTGTATTGGACCAGTTGATATGTCCGTGCAAGATAACCAAGATGTCCCAAGTACTTCTGCTTTCTACAACTTCTCAAATTCCTGGTTTGAGAGTTTTTCGGTCTGAAATTGCATGGGCATGGCATAATCCGAGCGCAAATGTTTTTTTCGAGCAACCAAGCTAGATGCTCATGCCACCATTGACCTATGCTCATACCTCGGCAAACCTCACTCATGAGGGCCCTCACTCACCCTCATCTTCACAGATGAGGTGAGGGTGAGTGAGTTTCTGAAATAGGAAAATTCATGAGGGTGAGTGAGGGCCATGAGTGCGTGAGGGCCGTGAGTGGTGTGAGTGCGTGAGGGGTGTGAGAGCCATGAGTGCGTGAGGGCAGTGAGTGGCGTGAGGGCGGTGAGTGCATGAGGTGTGTGAGGGCCATGAGTGCGTGAGAACGGTGAGTGCATGAGGCCCCCTTCAGATCGAGCATCTTTCTCAGCAATTTTGGTGTTAATGGCGGGTTCTCTAGCTTTCCCTAGATCGACACGAATTGCTGAGATCGGGTCCGGCTCGAAATAAGCAAGCAACTCTGAGCAATTCGAATACGTTTGAAGCGGCTGCATCCAATCAGGAACGCAAAATTTTCACGTGATACCTCGTGCCGGTGATGATGACACCGAAAGACTTGGTTCTGGTTTGAAATCAATCGTTTTTTGGAAATAAACT